CATTCCACGTTTTCTACAGCCCCTGCCTGCACAAACGCCTTAAGCACAGGAAAGGAAATACTGAGCAAAACAGCTGGGAAAGCTGTGATAGAGGAGAACATACTGGGTTGCTTTCATTTACCTGGGAGTCAGCACCGACGCTGTGCAACACCTGTGGAACTGTTGCTCTGAATTGCTGAAAGCAGCTCTCAATGTCACGCGGCAGAAGGCTTGATTTTATCTTTACATGTATCCCTGCCTCTTTTGGTGCAGTGCAGGGTGGAGGCCATGCTGTGATCCTGCCAAATATCCTTGCAATCTGGCCAGACGGCGTTATGCAAGTCCTGCAGCATTCCAGGTTTACTCCTGGACTTTTTTTTTTTTTGAAACCGTGACCGATTAAATTTCCACTAGAGTAGCAGAGTGGAAAGCGAAAACAAAGACAGCCTCCTTTTCCAAGTCGAAATGACAAAGTACTTGAGCTTTACTTACCATTGAGGGGGACACAGAGCACGAGAGTATCTTTCTGTAGCCTTTAGGGTCATCGTTACATCAACAGCAAGGGCAAAAAGGAAAGCTACCGGGAGGAATCACAGCACCTCACTCATCCACACACATCAGGAGAAAAGAAAGGGAAGGAGTCACACACCAGCAAGAGAAAAAGAACACCTCTGCTAGTCTACACACCATCAAACACAGGAACTGTGGTGAGTGTTCAGGCATACATCTTGCTGGGTTCTGTTGGGTACCAGCAGCCCAACAGGGATTTTGAAACAGACCACGGTATTCCCGAGACAAAAGGAAAACATGGAGCCTCTGAGATGGAAAAATGTCCTAGAGAAATAAAGCAGCTCCCCCCTCCCTTTGTCCCCAGACCTGTACAAAAGGGACAGAAACCTCTGAGAAATCACTGTTAAGTGCCACCTCCGTTTGCTCTCACAGTTTGTTAATGAGTAATCAGCTCACTCGTGTTATCAGGCAGTATTAACCTGCAGGCATGCAATTAACACATCAGCTGCTTGGATCAAATGTGTGAGGAACCAGTAGAAACCAGGCAGGACCAGGAGAGGTCTTTGGGGTTCTGCTGATGTTTGTCAAGTTTTGAAAAATTCTAGTGGTCAAACCTACAGGTAGTGTTCGGCTCTGGTGCCATAACAGTCTCTACCACTTCCCACAAAGTTTCATCCATCATATCTGAGAAATTCTTCTTCCATAGAGAACTCACACCCCATAGCTAATGCTTGGATCATTTCCTTGGGTCTGGCTACCACGATGACACAATATTACGTAGAATTAAGAAATACTACGTGAAAAAAAGAAGAGGCATAAGTTTCTCTTAGCATGACTCAGACGTGACTACGTAGTAGGTTCCTTCAAATTTAGCATTTGCTGTCTGTTGTGAATGCTATCTTAAGACTCTTCCCAAGTCAGGCCAGTGGAAAATGCATAGAAATAAATGTGGAGGCAGTTTTAATCAGCAATGCTGGGTCCCTGGAGCAGCTGTGGGCAAAACTCGTGCTGGGCTTTGGGCTCATGGACTCTCCCACTGGCCTGCTGGCCCATGCCCATGTCCTGTGTGCTTGGTGCAGCCCCTTTTGTACGGGACATTGGTGCAGCTCTGGCTGGAATAGAACAGGCAGGGCGTTCAGGCTTTGGGTTGGCAAAGAGATGAGTTCATCTACAGAATGTAAAACCTTTTGCAGTGGAGTCTTTGTGCTGCCCGTGGAAATCAGCCTGGCAGCGCTCCTTCGATTGACACCTTGAGGTGCTCTGCACATTCATTGCCCCATTTTCCCTCCTCCTCCATTCTCACCACCAAGGAAGCTGCACCAATGGCTTGCTCAAAGACCCATCGATCCATACAGCTGCTCAGTTTCAGAGGCTGAGTGGTTTCAACGTTGTACAGAACAGAGGGTCTTAAAGGCAATGCTGGGCAAACTGGACAAACCCAGAAACTCACCTCCAGAAACAACAAAGCAAGGAAAATGCTAAACAGAAAACAAAAGTCACAAAAATAAGAATGAAACAATGGGCTAAAACTAAAGCACAATAGCTCATGTTAAACAAATACTCCGTTTTAAAGCAAATTGCAACAATGACAGAAACAACGCACCATCCTAGTTTTTAAATCTTGAAAAAACACAAAACAGAAAGGCCCATTTGGGATAGAGTTCACCAGGTGAAGAAAGAAACTGTGGTCAGAAGAATCCATTTGTGTAAGTCCTTTGGTGGAGCAGAAGACACAGACATCCTGGGAGAGCACTGAGTTATGAGGTACAAACCAAGTGCAGGTTGAATATTGTAATAAAGCACCTCGAGCCAGTTGCAAGACAGATGATATCTGGATGCTGCTGTAATAATGACTGTTTTATCAAAACAGACCCCTTTATACAGTAGTGCTTCACCACATATCAAGCAATAAAACAATTTGTGGAGCTGTGAAGGTCACAGACACCGCGAGCAGCTTGACACAGTAAATTAGCAACCAGGTTCTTAAGTCCAGGAAATCGTATTTTGCAAATGATGCAGTAAACATTTCCCAGAGCTGAGCTGCTGAGAGGCTTAAATAGCAGAGAGCAGAACAACCATTGCAGATGAACTGCAGGGACATGAGCACGCAAACTGCCACTGTGCTCTGTATTTGCATAGCAAAAATGCTAGAGGTGGAGAAGCAGGTACACTACAGAGTATGCAATGGCCTTGAAGGAGGCTTAGAGGAAGGTGTGCTCTCACAGTCCTTGATGTGGGACTGACAAAGGAAAGCAGCAAAACAGCAAGCACAGCACTTCAATGGTGAAACAGCAGGATGAGCAAGGGGACTTTCACCAGCCTGAGCCCCAGGACAGCTTTAGCACCTCTGCAGGAGGTGGACAAGCACACCGGGATGTGAATATCATTGAAGAAATGCAAGTCATGGTGCCCTCTGTGTTTCAACACCTGACAGACCTGGTTTTGTTGGTGAAGGCAGAGAAAATGATGATGTTCTCAGAGTACTGACTCACGACACAGATGCCCGTTGCTGTAGAAAATCATTTTCCTACATTTCGAAAATAAAACCGAAGTAGAAAAAACAAAACCAGTATTTCTAAGGGTAAACTGGTAATGTAGATCCAGAATTGGGTTTGCAGCTGGACCTTGGTGTCTCAGTCCCAGCTTTTCCCTGACTTGCTCACCAGCCACTGTGTCCTCAACACTGTTTTTCTCCTAAAGCCAAAGCACAGCATCATACCTCACAGCATGAAGAAAAAAATCTACTGAAACCAGGACAGGTTACCCAATTTCTACAGGGCTTTGTTTTTGGCAGTGATGTTCCCATATGCCAAGAATCCTGTTTCCAAGCATGCCCAGCACCTTTCCATTCTCCATGGTGTTGAGCCATTCACGGTACCTCACACCAAAGCTATGGTGGGATTCCATCAGCATGTCCAGGCTTGAATAACAGCAGTTTGATTTGACAAGTCTTGCCATCAACACAGCATCTGCTCTGCCTTCAGGACCATAAGAAGTACCAGGGTATGTCTAGCTGTCAACCATGAGTCCCTGTCATCAGCCCTACTGGGCAGGATAAGAGCATCTAAGGCATCAGTGCTGCAAACCCTAAAGCTGTAGCTGCTATGTATCTCTGGTGTTCCCACTATGGATTAATTTCTATATTAAATATTGCTTTGGCATGCAGTCATCAAACACTTTTTGGATCATCAGCCAGCAACCCATCTGTATTTCTATTTCTCTCTCACAGTACACCTAGCTTCTCCCTTGCCTTCTGTGGGTTATTATCCATTTGGTCATCAACCTGTTGACTTTCCAAGTGTTTTTTTTTTTCTTTTTCTTCTTTTTCAGACTAAAGCTCAGCATGCTTTGCAAGTGCCCTTGTAAGCACCCCACTGGCACCACAGGGAGATAAATAGAAGCTACAGGACATTTGGTAGTGGATGGCCTCCAATACAGCGCACATGATGTTGCCATGGTTTGTAGATGTGGAAGGAACAGACTGCACATCCACGTGTTCACTTGTAAGCCTGATAACCTGCTTCTGCACACGGCAGGATCTACGCAGATACAATTTCAAGCAAAAAAAAAAGAACCAGAAATCCATGATTTTGTACTCACTTTCAATTTTGGTCACAAAACTGCCCCTATGATATAGAAAGCCAGGTGAAAACCTGGTGAAAAAGTCAAGGAACAAGGTTATTTTAAGTAACTAACAACGTGGTGAGAAATCTTAGTTCCATTAAAGTGCTTTTTCTGGTTTCTAAAAACTCTTCACACGCACTGTACTGTTGATTAAAAATAGAAGGAAGTTAGCATCATTATCTTGTGCTATAAAATAATAGCTCCAGGAAACTCAACAAAGAACAAAAGCAAATGTCCTTGTGTGACTTCTTGTCTAGACCGGACAGGAAATCATTGTAAGAAGAGGATTATATTTAAAACCAACAAACAGATATGGCATAAATAGATGATTAAAGCAGTAATTGCAAAATAAAATGGGAAGGAGAAGACAGTCAAATGAACAATATTCTTTTCTTTCACATGTAAGAAACTGGCTCCATTTGGCTCACTGACTGTGATGAAGTAGATTAAACTCCCCCTTAAAAATGGGTCCCCTTGGGACAGCTTTATGCTTATCATACAATACTTTTAATGTAATTATGTACACATACCTCCCAGAATTACAAATCCAAAGTGAAATAGATGTTAAGGCTTCACCTGGTGAAATCTATCTTAAGGCAGCTTAAAAAAAAAGAAATAAATAAAAATCCTTCTAAATTACAGTTATAACAAGGCAAAAGATGAGACGTTACAAAGAAAAAAAAGAAGAACAAACTGAAAGAAGTACTGCAATCCATGGTTAAGTGATCAGCACTGAAGTGTTCAGCCAACCTAAAGCCCTATCTGTCACAGAGATGGTACAAAGCATTCACAGAGTGCTACAGGATGCTCCAGTTGAACAGACGTATAACAGCACTGAGGAACAGAAACCACAAAATGAAAGTCTCGAGTAATCAAACAGCGCTTACGCGGCTATGGAAATGTTGGCTGCAGACATGGGGCTGACTTCTGCTACCTCCTTGGCCTTCTGCAGGGCGAGCTTCTGATTGGTGGCTTCCTCCATCTCCTCCTCATCCTGGTGCAGAAAATCAGACAGATCAGAGCTTGCATGGTGCAACGACAACACCTAGAGTTCTCCAAGGCATGGGTGCAATGTGACTGGCACTGCTTTGCCACGAGAGAAGCGGAAATTCATTAAAATAAGGCAGAATCTCAAAACTTCTTGCAAGGTAGGGTTTTGCTCTCAGCAAAGAGATGGGAAACACAAGGTTTGCTCAAGTGTTCACTGCATCTTTACTGAGAATGCATCTCCCTTGTGAAGCTCTTACCTCTTTTGGGTCTCTTCCTATCACTCAGTGCTTTGGCACAGCAGGGAGAGACCTGAGCAGAACTCTGGGGTAAAGGCAGCCTTATTCATCACACATTGACATGTGCAAAAACATTCAGAAGCCTACATCCTAACAAAACGGGACGCTCCCAAAGCCAACATGAACTATCTGAAGCAATAAGCCCAGCAGACAACAAAGGGTTTGACAGACCCTGCTCACACCAGTTTTATCCCAAATACTACCACTGATTTCAGGTGTATCGCTGTGGATGTAGTGGGTGAAAACAGAAAGGAGAAGACAGATTAGAGTGAAGCAGATTAAAGGGAGAGCCAAGCACAGCTGAGAAAGTTGGTCATGTTTGTGAGTTCTACACATTCCTCAGATCGTCTATGAGGGTTATTATTGGGATTGCAAGTTCCCACAGAGTACAACTGTGATTTATTTCCTCCCACCTGCTGTAATTACAACAGAACACTGCTTAAAATCAAACTGTCAGATCTTTAGGACTGGAGTGAGAACAAAAAGCAAAACAAACAGCATCCCATTCAACTCCAGTAGTCACATGGCTTGAACTTCCTTTGAACTTTCCAGCTAATTAACTTAGATAGGAAACGATGCCCCATCCCTGGAGGTGTTCAAGGCCAGGTTGGATGGGGCCCTGGGCAGCCTGGGCTGGTATGAAATGTGGAGGTTGGTGGCCCTGCATGTGGCAGGGGTTGGGGCTTCATGATCCTTGAGATCCCTTCCAACTCTGGCCATTCTGTGATAGGAAAATCAGGCCAAAGTACAGACACTCTGGCAAGATCCACACCACTATCAGGGAAGAACCACACATCAAGATGAGAGCAGACACCAGCTCCTTTGTCAAGGACCCCAGACCTGCATTTGCCCTTCAGAGGTAAACTGTGAAATAGTTATGTTTAAAATAATGAAAAAATAACAGTAAGACATCCAACTTTGAAATAGGAAGGCACGTAGATTTATCATGGGATCATTTGAGTTGGAAGGGGTGCTTAAAGGTCCTCTAGTCCAACCTTCCTGCAGTGCTCAGGGACCCATCCTGAAGGCCTTTTCTCCTTTAGGAGGAAAAAGAAATGATAGGTAATGAATTAAAAAATCTGGTGCCATTACAATTTCAAACCTTTCAGGCTGTCTCCTTTCCAAACATTAACAGATCTATAACAAAAACTCTTACTGGGATGAATAAAGAATGAGACAGGCCACCAACAGAAGCCTTGCTGAAGCCTTACACCAAGTCAGCAGTCCGTATTTCTCGATAGCTGACTTCCAGTAAATTTATTGATGGTTTAGAAGCAGCCTGTAAATCAATGCTGTCTGCAGAATGTGGATATTTCGAGAAATAAATTCCCCAAAGAGGAGACTTCTGGGGTTTTTCTTTCAGCAGGTATATTGAAGCTGTTTCTTCTCTTGGTGAGCTCTTTATTCTTGTCCACCTAAAGCACCAGGTGCAGATTTTACTGTCTTTATAAAATTTCTAGCTTCTACTCTATGCTCCCCAGTGCATCCATAACACAGCAAAATATTCACTGTCATAAAGGCACCCATCCTTAACTCAGAGCAAGCACGCTCTTTATCAGCTGACTGCTTAATAGTATTTCTGTAGCTCCTTCTACACAGAGATCTGTGATCACTTTACAAATGTTAATTAATTCCCTGCCTGCTCTGTGTGCTGCAGTGTCTCATGGGGGCATGGGATCATCCTGCTCTGTTTGAAGCACACAGGGCTGACGGTGCGTGACTGAAGTGAGCTCTGAACTGTGACATTAGAGCCACCTCTGGGAGCTCCATCATCACCTCATTGATAAAGGCACTGCCTATAGGGACCAAAGAAGTGTAAGCAGGAGCTGAGTTCTACATCTTCATCAAAACCATAGTTTATCACGTGGTAAAGCCTGGCTTCAGTGCTAATAATAATTATGTGCATAGTTAACACCCAATTAAAGACCTCTCCATTGGGTTGGATGAGAAGCCTCCATGGCTGCTACTCTCTTGTCTTCAACCTATAATTTCTGGGGAATTCTGGACTAATTTTATGTAAAATTCACACATCCCTTCTACTGTATGTTTTTATCCAGCCTTCTCCAAGATTGTATGGAGCAGAGATCAGAGGACGTTCCTGGAGCTTTCAGGTATTTTTTAGGAAGGCAGAGGGCTTCCCAGCTCACCCACCCATGGCAGCTTCCCACGCCAAGATGAAGAATGGCAGAGAATCCTAGAGTGGCTTGGGTTGGAAGAGACCTCAAAGATCATCTGGCTCCAACCCCCACACTGCAGGCAGGGTTGTTGTGTCATGCTGTGTCACCAAAGGGCAAATTGGAAGCAAATTTGGGGGACAATTTCAGAGTCTACTCTGAATTAGCAAACAAGAAGCAAAAAAAATAAAAATAAAAAAAAGTAGAGAGCAGCCTAGAGGGATTGGAGATATTTCCGAGAAGTGTAGAAACAGCGCTGGGACAGTTTGAGCCACTGTAAAGTCAGAGCCAACACAGAAAGGAGAAAGACTCAGGGATGGAGAGGCAAAGGCTGGATAACAGATTTGTTCATAGAATCATAGAATGGCCCAGGTTGGAAGGGACCTCAAGGATCATCAAGCTCCATCCCTCCTTGTGCATGCAGGGCCACCAATCTCCACATCTAACACTAGGCCAGGCTGCCCAGGGCCCCATCCAACCTGGCCTTGAACACCTCCAGGGATGGATGGGGCATCCACAGCCTCTCTGGGCAGCTGTTCCAGCACCTCACCACTCTCTCTGTAAAGAACTTCCCCCTGACATCCAACTGAAATCTGCCCTCCCTCAACTAAAAACCATTTCCCCTCGTCCTGCTGTTATCTACCCTTCCAAAGAGTTGACTCCCCTTCTGTTTTTAGGTTCCCTTTAGGTACTGAAAGGCTGCAATGAGGTCACCCCACAGCCTTCTTTTCTCCAGGCTGAGTTTCTAACAGCCATTGGATGCTCAAGTCAAATACAGCTGCAGCTCTGGTGCTCCCTGGTATGGGTCACAGGGCTCAACTAAGGCAACCAAGTAAATGTCCCAAAGTCACAATAAAGGAAATCCAAATTCACATCCAGAACTGAGAAGGCTGGTTAAAATGCTTCAGTCCTGATGTTTGCCTGGGAAGATTTCTGTCTTCCCAAAATAGAGGCAGGTGCAAACTGCTTATGGTTCTCCCACAGTATATGCAGCACTGATCTTGATTAGTTTTACAGCATAAATGTCAAGAACATCTCCCGAGATCAACTGACTCCTGAGTAACTTAATTATAACTCCAAGCCATTTTTGGTTTTGCATGATCATATTTACTTAGCAATAAATCTCTCATTCTCCAGGTATGCTATACAATTGAATTGCTTTAATCTTTTCCCTCTGCTTTTGAAACTCCCAGAGACTTTTTTTTTTTTTTTTTGGATCATAAGTAAAATTAAAGCAAAAAAATAAGTTTCTCAAGAAGCTTTACGATTTTGCAATGCCTCTGAATCCATCAATATTTAATTCTACTTTATAAACATAAACAAAGTCAGATTTCTAACCCTTCCAGTCAGCTGCTGAAATATTCAGGAGAAAGTGCTATAAGGATTAAGAAAGAAATAGGATGAGCTTCATTACCCAACTATACAAACAGAAGTTGGTAAAATATAGCTGCTAAGGTAAACACAGGGCTTTTGCACCAGCAATCATTGGCGTAGGGCAATGGGCTGTGCACATCCACCTCGTGAGAGCAAAGGTGTGCAAACCAAGCCGAGTGCTGCTGAACATCACCGAGCACACCACAGTGAGGAACAAAAAGTGTGCAATATCCCAAATGCAAACTGCAGCAATTGGAATCCTTGCTGTGCCGTACAGAGGCTGTTTCCATAGGGAATGCTCAGTATAAATCTAAGCACACAGCAGAGCTCCAGGAGTGTCACTTCCAGCTTGTGCCAGGACCCGGCTTTCTGCCTGTGCTGTGCCTTGGGTTGGTTGCTCTGCACCTGGTAGGAGGTGGGAAGGTTCCAACATTTTGGCTTTGAACTCACAGTGGCCTCTTCGAGTTGTTTTCCAGAGTTGATTGGAGAATATTAATTCCTTGATTCAAACTCCCCAACGCACGAAGCATCAGCATGAGACAGCAAAGGCAGCCACACACCACCTGTGACTCCCCACGCCGAAGCCTCAGACACACGAGTCAGCCAAAACCCATTAATTCTTTCGCCTCTGCTCTTGAAAAAAAGCAAAAGCTACAAAAGTGTGTGCACCTCCACAGAGCAGCAACGTGAGCAATGCCTGCTGCCTGCCCTAGCATGAAGGAATGGAACAGTTTGCAGAAACAAGCCTCGAGAACCAAACAGAACTGAATGAGAGCAGACCTCTGGGTTCTTAACAGCAGTGTAAACTGGCACACAGAGAGACAGAATGAAGGGAAATCTCTGCTTTAGGTCCAGCAGCTGTGGCCCAAGTTTGAAGAACCAGAAGTCACGTACTTACCTTGGTCAGCTCTTGGGCATTGGCCAGATTGTCAACAGCGATGGCCAAGAAGACGTTCAGGAGTGTATCTGTTGGGGAGCAGCTAAGGAAAAATCTTCACATAGCAAATAGAAAAAAACAATTACTCTTCTCCTACAACTACAGCCTTCTTTCTCCACTTCCAATCATGGGTATATTTCTGATGGATCCCTTGCACCATTGCTCTGTCATCTTTATTTCTAACTCACCAGGACCAGCATGTGCTGGACACCCACCTGACTTCACCAGCACACGTTCTGAGGGGATACACAAACCCACAGACACAGGATTTCACCATCATTTATCCTTCCTGCTTAACAGAACAACTGGTAGCTCCTGGAAATTGGCCATTTTAAAGGCCATGTTAGCATATAAAGACATTGGGCAACACGAAAAAGCTGAGCTGAGATCAGTGCTGTGCCACGTGCCATTGGGAGGAACTCTCATGGCTTATCACAGCAGAGGGGGTGTGACAACTGCACAGCAGTTGCAAAGCAGCCACAAAGAAATTGTAAATCAGATATCTTTGCATACAACATGAGAGCAAGCAAAACAAATCCAAGTCTTAACCAATGCCCAAGAAGCAAAAAAAACATTTGCTCCCATACACTGCCTGGTGACCCCATGGCTGTGTAAAGCTATGACTACTGCCCTACATATGAGCATATACGCCTTTTAAGTTGATCTAATGTATTTACCCTCTGGTGATTCACAAAGCATTGCACTGCTGCTGCATTTGTATTCTGTTGGCCTCGTCAGAGCCATATATGAGCCTGGCTCCAGCAGCACCCTGGCTGTGAGTGCTGCATGCTGGGCATCACCACGTCACATTGTCACAGTTTCAGGAGACTTCCCAGGGCAGCCAGAGAGCAAAACTTGCCCAAAAACTCAAGGCTTCTTGGCTTTCCTTCTCAGGAGCCCTCATAAGACTTGAAAACCTTTCAGGCCTCTCATTCCCATTGAGATGAATGCCTCCAGAGCCAAAACACTGATCAAAAACCAACCCTCTGCTTGGGGCAGCGAAAGTAGGAGCAGTGTGTAGTCCTTTAGGATGTGCCTGCATCCTGCAGGGAACGGGACAAGGACTCCTGGGTTTTCTCCAGTCATCCATCAGGATTTCACCACAACAAGTAGCATGGGACAGAGGGTTTTACAATGCACAGATGATTCCATGGGGACAGCAAGAGCTGTGAAATGTGATGCGCATCCACTGTGAGGGGTACGGGGCAGGAGCTCCTCGCTCCCACTGAGCCCAGCAAATGAAGAACAAGAAGGGAAAGATGATAACCAGAACGATCATCTCCCTCCCACGCTGGAGAGGGAGCAAAATCAAAGTTTCATTTGCAAAGATGTCTCCATTTCCTTTTACCTGGCGAATGGCTGAGGGGCCACCCTTGGTGCTTCGATGTTGGAAATGCCTGCAAGCCCCTGGCTGGGGGGAAAGGAATGTCTCATAACAAAGTTGTCTTCCTACCTCTGCCTCCTACACACATGCTGAAAATGCCTCGTGTAACATAATCGGCCACTGGAAACGGCATTATTTTGTTTTGTTTTTCTTTTTAGTTTGGGGATGTTTTGATTAATCAAGCAGCCGTGTTCTGGGGGAATTGAGTGTTTCTTCCCCCAAAAAAGTCCCTCGACCCCTTTTGCAGAGCTTGGGAATTCCCAGACACCAACCAACCTCCATCTCCAGGCTGTACAGCCTGAGCAGACACTGAGCACAGCTCTATATGCTGCAGCAAAGTGCAGAAGGCAGCCAGTGGCCAGGCCTGGGAAGGGTGCCTGGCCCCAAGCATTGGCTGCTTTTCATTTTAGGCTTTTCTTCATAATTTTTTAGTTTTTTTCTCCTTTTTCCCTCCACAAACACACCAATTTATCAATTTACCACATAACAATGAAGAAAGGCATGGTGTAATTTCCAAGAAAATGAGCCAAGTCCTGCTGTCACTCCAGTCACACTGCTTCCATTGAACCATTTCAGACACAGAGGTCTCTGCAGTTGAAAATGCAAGAGAATTTTGCCTTAGAAAACCAATGTTTCTAGATCTTTTCCTTGCAACGTGCTTTGAAAATATAGATTCACAGAACAATTAAGGTTGGAAAACACCTCTAAGCTCATCAAGTCCAACCATCCATATAAATAGATTCAAAGAGGCAGATGAGCTACAGCGAAAGCAAGAGAAGCCAGCGCCTTCCTTTGCTTCTCCCTGAAATGGAACGATTACAGAGCCCACATCAGTTTGAAGAGCAGAGGAGATCTTCATGTTTAAAAGGAGCGGGTTTTGCAAGCTGACCCAAAATCACCAATGCCCATCCTCTACAATTGCATAAAACAATATATTCTTACAGCTTTCTGGAGGAGATCTGTGTAAAAAACAGAGTGGCTGCAATGTTTAAGTCCCGAGTTATAGAAGAAAAGACATTTGACATTAAGCCAATCCATAACTAAACTAAGCAGCAGTGCAGGATTGCTCTGTGCAGGGCACCCTCCTACTCTCAGCAGGAAGGTGAACCCACGGCTCACACCTGTGCTTCGCCCCACACTGCAGCATCATTGACATTAATGGCTGTTTTACTTCCAGCAAAAAATGCAGTTCTGCTATTTTCTGGCAAACTGAACTTTATTTTCAGACCTTCCTGCTTATGTTTTGACAGCTAAGAATAACATTAAGTCCTTGGTAAGTCACACAGTTCAGCTTTCTCCCCCTGAGATAAATGACTGCCTGCTGCTTGCTCTCAGCATCCAAACCGTAACTACGGAGAAGCAGGGATAGCTCTGACCTTCCTGAAAACCTGCTTGAAATACCAGCGTGAGCATCTGTGGGCTTAATGCTGCAACTCCCGTGGTAAACACACAAGGATTTAACCCCTTGTTCTCCACTGCCCCCCCTCACTGTGCTTAAATGCCAATAGAATCATGTGTGGTGCAGGAGAGCTCTTCCAATCCATGAAAGCAACCGATCCTCTCAGGTAAATTCTTGGCCATGGCGAGGAGAGGCAAAGGCTGAATCCATGGCAGTCGCAAGGGGTGAGCAGGTTCTCATTGCATCCATGTGAACAACCCCTGTGTCTGTTAAAGGAAAATGAAGTACAAGGGAGAAGACCTCCCTTTCAAGTGAAGGGGCAAGAAAGGAATTAATATCCTGTTCTTCAGCACTGCTGTATCTCAGCTGCTCTGAGGTTAAAAGTCTCTCTCTCTTCCCCTCAGCCTTGCTGTCAAGCCTGATTACGACTTAATCTCATTTCCAAATGCCAAGCCCTGAGGACTGAGAGCAATCCCAGCTCTCCATTGACCCACTTTTCAGACGCAGCATGTTTCTGGAAGGAGCACACTTAGGCGGGTGCCTGAGTGTAGCTGCTGAACCAGCTCACGTGTCCTGGCTGCTATTGCTCTGGCAGTGCACATTAATGGGACAAACCCCACAGACAGCCCTGTGGGACACACACAGCTTGCATGCTGCCTGCTCTGCTGTTCCCTGCCACAGCTCCTCATGCCAGCAGAGAGATTTCATGCAATGCAAAGGGCTGAACCTGCTTCACAATCTGATGTCCCATGTGCCACTGCTGGCTCACGGTCACCCTGCTGGCCATCAGGACTCACACATCCTTCTCTGCAGAGCTCCTGTCCAGCAGATCAGCCTCCAACCTGTACTGATGCGTGCCATTATTCCCCCCCCAAGGTGCAGGACTCCACACCTGCCCTTGTTGAACCTTATCACCCAACTCTCTGTCCTGTCCAGATCTGCTGAATGGCAGCACAGCCTCAGTTTACCCCACTGTGTGCTCATCTATCTCACACTTCCTAAACTTACCTACAAGGAATTTATGGGAGACGGCATCAAAAGCCTTGCTGAAGTCAAGGTACACAACAACCACTGCTCTCCCCTCATCTACTCATCTGCTGCTCAAGCAGAACAGAAACACTCAGCCTTATTATCCCTATTTACAGAACAAACAAGCCAGCCACACTGCCTTGTATATGCAACCATTTTCAAGTTTCTGTTTCTTAAGGATGCTGTTTGACACTGCACAGCTTATCATTGCAACCAGTGAACAGCTGGTACCAATGAACATGTAGCCAGCCAAGGTGAGCAATGCTATGCAACATCAGCCCAGCAGCATCTTCATCACAAAAAAGAGAGAGTGCTATCACTAATTCTGTGCTCCGCAGGCTCTCCCGTCCCATCAGCCATTAGGTCTGAGGATCACTTTGCTTGATTGCACATAAAACACAGCCTCCTGCTCCAAGTCCTTGCTCCGTGTGACAGCTACTTCCAGCAGACACCTTGGGGCCCACTGCCCCAGGTTCCCACTGCCCTCAGCAGGTTTCATGACAAAGTGAAATAAAGCATCTTCATGGATGTATTTCTGAACTTGGAACAGGACCAAATACTCCCAGAGCCCGAAATACCAGACTTAGACTCATGATTTAAGTATTATGTGGAGACATTTTCAAGCATTTGAAGTAGCACAGCTGGTTAATCTGTCATGGCACCAAGAGACTGAAGCCCAATTTACGTGCTAAAGCAATTTCAACTCTTTCTCTGCTTGGTTTAGTGTAAGCTATCCACAAAGATAATCAAAGTACAGATGCCCTGCTTTGACTTGAATTCAAATATTTTTCCTACAACCTAAATGAACTCAAAGTAGGACGTGCTTAATCTAAACCCATGAAAATTAAAATGAACAGAGACCATGCTCACATTGCCACCAGAAGTGTGACACCAATGACTTGCCTACCACTCTTAGCTCAGGTGCTACAAGGAGCAAAGCCACAGCAAAGGTCTGGTTTCAAAAAGTGCATGGTTGGGCTGGGTAGGAATTAAACCATGCTAGATATTTCTGGCAACCTACAGTAGGCTCTAAAACAAGGTAGTATGCAAGGATACAGTTACCAAACAATGTCAGGACGATGAAGTAAATGGAGGAGAACATCCCCGAGTGGACACCGCCCTGTGACTCTATGCCATGGTACATCACTGCGTTCCAGTCCTCCCCAGTCAGGATCTGCACAGAGAAATGCAAGAGAGAAGAAAATGACTCAAAGGGAAGATAAAGAAGGTACAAAGTGGGGGAGCTGGGCAATTGGACACAATCCTGGACTGGTCTCAGGCTGTGGAGTGGGACACCAGCCTTGCAGCCCTGGATGGTCACAGCTCACACATAGCTTTCTCTTCTGCTGCCTCTTGGTTATGCATATGCTTTCACCTCTGGCATGGGCTCCCACTTAGAAGTCACATTCCAACACATCTTCCAACCCATCTCCATTTCTAAGTCACGCAGAGATGTCAGGTTTTAACAATTCCATGTGCAGCTCATGTCTCCAAAGAAAAATCTGACATCCAAGCCCAGTGTCCTGAGTGCTTCACCTCCTCTCATTTCAACTCAGAGTTTGCTCAGTCATGATCCAACACACAGAGTCCATAAGCACTGGGTTAGCCACATAAACTCCTTCCCACTACTGAAAACCCACTATTCCCCAGACCCTCAGGGCTGCAAAAGCCTTGCTGCAGCTGAATGTTTCTCCAAATGGAAAACCCTCTAGCACAACCACTGCAAGGTTTGCACCACAACGGTTCTTTTTCCCAAGGCCACAAGGATCCTCAGTCAACCAGGCATCCATAAGTCTCCAAAAACCTAAGCAGAAGCAATATCCAAATGTGTGTGAGGATAGCAAAGGGCAGTTTGAAGGAGGCTCTGCTCCTCCTGCATCCTTGTGCATGAGCAGAGCCCTGCAGAGCTGTGCTGGCTGCAGGATAGGATGCTGACCCCAGGCTGATTAGCAAATATGAATAATACAAAACTCATTTTAATAAGAGGAAGTACCTAAGCCTTAAATAAGCCTTGTCACTCTAGATGCTAACTTTGCACTACCCTGAGCCGCCTGCCATTCCTGTTCCTCACCAACATAGAGCAGCGGATTAGATTTTCATCTGCCCACTATGGCCAATCCTACTGATAGTTACATTCATTACACTGAGAAATGCCCACTGGAATTAAGAGCTCAGATACCTAAATAGGAAGCTGTCTATGTGTTCAGTACAAAAAAAAAGAAAACAACAACAACAACAAAAGAACCAGAACCAGAAAAACACCCTGAAGCACAGTGTGAAGAAGCAATCAATCCCATGTGCATACAGTATGCTCCAAATAATTACAAATTCCAGACTATCTGCTGATAGAGAGAAAACGTTTTGCTGCAGGGCTGCTGCTGATGACAGCATTAAGGCAAGAAGAGGCACAAGGCTGTACAGTGCATATACAAACTTGTTTCCCAAATGCAGTATCTGGTTGCAGATAATTCATTGCAAGCCCAAAGCAATCTGCACCACTAGAGTTGCCCTGGGCAGCTTGCAGCAGGGAGTGTGAACCAGACTGGGCTTCAAGCTCTGGCATTCAATTCCACTAAGCAGCGTTCACAAACTTGTGTTCACATCATTCCCATGAATTTACAACTGCTCCTTCTGTCTGGAAATGAACATACAGTGATAGCTGTTCATACAGACATTCACGGGAAGGGGGGTGGTGAGAGCATTTGTGTGACCTGCACGAGACCAGGGCTTGCAGATACCACAGGCTGCACAGAAACCCAGCAGGACTTGGGCTTCAAAAATCCAGCCAGAATGTTTTGAATAGGAAACGAGATAACGAAGGAAAGAAGTTTCATGAAACTGCTGCAGAGAGATAACTGGTCTAAATTCAGCAGGCTGTGTGCAGAGCTGGGGATGCTCTCAGAGGCTCTGGTGAGATGCACTTTTTGACCTGCTGTCCTTCCCCCGTTTGCACCATTGCTCCTCAGCTGCAGGAATTACTCAAGCAATTAGGTAGCAGCCCTCAAGGAGCAGAGCATGTGGAGTTAATAAAGGCCTTTCTAGTCTATAAAGTCTGTTTTTATGGATGCTCAGGTCTGGCTGCACCCTGCTGCCTCGGCTCCTCACCTCCAGCAGCTCCTGGGGCTCCACTCCTTCACAGCACATGCAGTTATTTAAGCAGCAGCCCTCCAGGAGCAGAATACATATGGTTAATAGAGGTATTTCTTCTTTATAGAGTCTCTGTGTTTATGGGTGTTGTAAACACCTGCAGCTCAATGACTGCTGCAATAGAGGCATGTTGCTATTTGTCATGCCTATATATGTGAATATATATATTTGTATATACACTGATTGCCATTCAGCTCACAAAAACTATTCTTGAGAGCTGGGAGGTGGGTAAAAATGTGTGATACTTTTCTGTGGGAATTGAGGGGCAGTGGGACTCAGGAGCATCCAATGCTGAGCTCAGCCAGGTAGACACAACACATCCTGGGGGTCCCACGACAGAGGTTGTGACCAACCTTCCAACCTCAGTGATTCTATAACTCCATGTTCAATCTGAGCTCTGAAGGGACTGGCTCTGAGGGAGGTCATCCACCTTAAAGCCTCTGCAGAGGGGTGAGTGATGGGCAGGGTGTATCTGGCTCTCTTGTGTTTGTTCACTACATCGCATACATTCACTGGATAATGCCACTCTGCTTATTGGAGCAGCATCTCCTTGACTAGCTTCTGGCTGGTCAAAGAGAATCCAAAGCCTCTGTTGAAGAAATGTTGACAACAACATATTTGCCACTCAAGAGAGGAGTGGGATTGGCTGGGAGCAAGAGGTTATTGAAATGCCTCTGTGAGGTTAACTGTCAGTGAGTTAATTCGGTACCAGTGGTTTTTAATTCATAGCTCTGATGCTCTATACAGATGCCATAAAATCAGCACTGTTTTCCTTCATCGAACAACCACTACACTACAGGGACATTCATCTTGGGAACAGAAAGGAAATATTTCAGCAAAGTATTTTCAAGAGATAGCTGTAGTCCCAAACCAAAATAGCAATGAAATCTCCAGATGCTCATATCCGGAGCCTGACGGGGGCTCCATTCCAACTCTGTGGCAATACCTTTCCATTTCTGTAAGCCCTTCCTTTGATGAGCACTAAAATACTATGCAAATATTAATCTACCACGATTTGCAATATCCTGCAAGGTAAGTACTGCGGAACCTGTTCTACATCTGGAAAGCAGCAATGCCCATATGAAGCTGCTTAGGCAGAGGTCATGGGACGCGTTTTCTTTAAGACTGTTTTTCTCTTTTAATCCAAAACTTGTCATCCACCCAATCCTTTTTTTTTTTTTTTTTCTTTTTTTCTTTCTCTCTGTCCTTTCTCCTCATTTTTAGGATGTGAAATAACATAATCCAAAATAACATAATCCAAGTCTTGCTGAGCTCTGGGGAAGCTTGGATAAGGGTCAAGTCTTAACTTGAGCTACACCTAGCAAGAAAGGGAGGCCCTCCACGGACCTGCTACCTGCACATTGAGCAGGATTGTGCATCTCCACCTCTCTACTTCAGTACCTGAAATAAATGTTTAAAAATGGCATGCAGAGAACAGCTGCAAAATGAGCCTCTTAAACCTGCACGTTGCATCTCCCAGAGCTGCTACTTTCCCCTGCCATCACACAAACTTGCCCAAGGCTGATGCCTCTTTATGTGCTCCCCCATCGACTGTAATTCTTATCCAGCATTATCTTATCCTGAGCTATTACAGTGCAAAATGCTACATTACTTCCTTACTGCCTGGAGCTAGCTCAGGCAGTTCTCCTCATTAAATTACAGCAACTGCAGGAAGAAGTGGGGCAGGTCAACCCTCATGGGCTGCGATTTTTGGCCAAATGGTTTATGCAGTGGACCACATGAAATGCTACCATTGCAGTGTGCAGCTGTGGGCAGGGGCCTTGAGAAGAGGAGAACATGGACACAACATCTTTGAGCACAGAAACATCTACTTTATCAAGATATTTCTTTACCTAACAAAAAATACTCTGTTCTAGCTTCCCTTAATTTGGTAGCATTGATCTTTAATGATGTCAATGTGGCCAAAAGACCTAAGAAGGAATTCACCTTTCCTAAATTCATCAGAGCCCTCTCTGCTCACCAGAAGCAGTAAGAGATGCCCAAGAATTTCTTTTCTGTCCCAAGACAAGGGATGGCTTTACCTGGAACACTGTGAGGATGGCAGCTGGAAAAGTATCGAAATTCGTGGTTGGTGTTTCGTCTCTAAAATTGAACCTAGAGAAGAGTCAGAAATAAAAACAATAGCAATAAGGGAACAAGCAAATCTCCTGCAGTCCTGTAATATGCTGTAACCTGAGTCAGAGACCAACATTGGTTTCACCTGGACATAACATCCCAATGACTGCAATGGAGAACATGACGTCATTGAGAAGATGGCTAACAGAGCCATGAGCAGAAACTAAATTTGGATCTGAAGAAAAACTGGCTCATCAAAATTAATTATATCCTAAATCCAAATGAACAATGAAAAGATAAAACCATTTTGCAGAACAAGCCATTCCAAGAAGCCTTAATCTATAGGTGTAAAGTCAAAATTGAAATCGTCTGCCACTTCTCAGCAGAAAGGTTGGTGCATGTACCATTGGAGTCAGACTTTCCTGCCTTGCTGCCCCTCTCCTTTAGCGTATTCCAAATGACTGAAAGCATAATGATTAATTAGACTTACTGCCCTCCAAAGAGCTGCATCCCCAGCAGAGCAAACACCACAATGAAGAGGAACAGCAGAAAGAGCAAACTGATGATGGACTTCATGGAGTTCAGCAAGGAGACCACGAGGTTCCTCAGGGAGTTCCAGTATCTGTGTTAGAGATCAGAGCACAGAAACCATTAGTGGTAGAAGAGTCTTCAGTTTAGAAATTAATTAGATCCATTCTTTAATTAAAAATAACTCTAAAAAATGGACAGCAAGGACTGCTGGCATCTTTAATCTCCCCCTGCCATTGTAACTGAAAAATACATTGAGTTCAAGAATGAGGATTTTTGAGGCAGGAATTTTTCCCAAACTCCCTTTGTTTTCCTCTTCTTCCTCTCCCCTTCTGCAGCTGCGAGGACCAATCTGCCCCACAGTGCTCTGGGATCATGCACCCATTCCACGAGAAGTTATGTCCATAACACAATGACTGCAGGTTTCAGGGGATACGTTGGTCTCATTGTGGAATATCTTTAGTTTTGAAAGAAAAAAACAAATCTCTCCTTAGAGGAGGATGAGGATGGAGTGGTTGGTCACAAGGGCTTTGTCCTGCTTGGTGCAATGCCTTCAGGCAAAATCTGCTTCCAGCACCATCTCACAGTTAACCCCACTGAAGCAGCTCCAGCTCATCCCAGAATAGCTCAACACCAAACCCTGAATGATTACAGAGCACCAGGACATAACAAGGGGCTACATTTCTGCAGCTGCCGGTCCCCATTAACTTCAAACATGACAAAGGGGAAAACATGTTGAGCTGTCCTCTCCTTGTCTTCCTTTTTGAATTTTAGTCTCTCTTGGGCTGTGCTCTTCTTAGTGCATCCTGGTGTCACCTTTGGGACTGACGCAATTTAGCTTTTAACTTTCACATTGCTCTGCCATCAGCAGTCACACTGATTTGGGCCATAGGAATCAAAAGCCCTAATAGCACTTCTCCAAATCAAGGTGGACTATTGTCTTCAGCCAAATACAAAGGCAAGGAGCCTTGGCCTGTGGTGGGGGGGTTGGAAATTGATGATCCTTAAGGTCCCTTCCAACCCAAGCCCCATTCTATGATTCTATATGAAAAATGGGGGGTGGAGGGAAACGCAACTGCTTGGGATCAGGATGTTTCCACCAGGGGAAATCTCCCTAATAAGGCCAAGGGAGTTTCTGCATCAGTGGGGTGAAAATCTGACTTGCTGCCCTGAGAGTGGGAGGTCACTCAGCCTGTTTCATGATTGCTTTGTCAAGTTAAACCTCAGGCTTCAGCTCTTTGCTATACCAGCTCAAATCCTGAATAGTCACAACAGACAAAAAGATCATTTTACCTTGCAAAAATGTCCAAATTTTTTAAAAAGCGCAACATACAATCAGATACATTTTATCTCTGTAGCTCCACTGACAATTAATTGCTAAAAATGTACCATTTTCAATAAATAAGATTAGAGTGGAGATAGACTAAGTGACATTTTTAGGGCAAGATCCCACTTCTTTTACTGGACATTTACAGAAATTCATGTTCCCCACTCCCACAGTGCCTCCAATGGCACACTGTCATGCAGGGATTTTGAGTCTTCGTGATAATTAGCATCAGATATAAACTGGCAAATCCCCCTGCTAACAAAAACCATGCATGGGAATAGCCAGAAAATACCTGCTTACTTCAACCTGCTCTTTTACTGTCAATGAAGGCAATGGTGTAGGTGGAAAAACAACAGCAGGAGCACCCAAATATTTCATCCCATCCCACAGCACTGTTTTAAAACAGAGAAATTGCTCTTGGTGGATTTGCAAGTTGCAACAGCAGCTGTTGCTAACGGCAGCACATATGAACACAACACAAGAGCACGAAGACAACAGAGAAGCTGAGGCAACCCAACGCCAGTCAATGTTCACATTTACAGGCTCCAGAGAGAAACCTCAGACATCCCCAGAGCAGACAGAGCACAGACAGCAGCAACGCACTTATATTTGTGTCAGCACCGTGGTTTGAGCATCAGGATTTATTATCTTGTGGTAGCCAGAGCTCAGCTCAGTAGATCTAAATCCTTAAATACTATCAGCAGCAGATAAGGGCAGCGGGTACTTATTGAGAGTCTTGTTTTAAGCAAGTTTAACAAATAACGAAGAAAAGCTGGATGCAGCTGCCCCAAGCAGAATGGTTTCAAACTACAAGAGGGGAGATTTAGACTGGGTATAAGGAAGAAGTGTTTTACACTCAAAGGCAATGAGGCACTGCACAGGTTGCACAGAGAGGTGTTGGTACCCCATCCCTGCAGACAGCCAAGGCCAGGCTGGATGGGGCACTGATGGAGCTGTAGAGGTTGGAAAAGACCAGTAAGATCATCTAGTCCAAGCCCAGCCCATCCCCACCTACAAATCTGCACAGAAAGGTGTGGAAAAAGCTGTTAAAAGTCCTCAAAGGTGCAACTTCCTAGGAACAGCCTAACTTCTGACTACCAGAAGCTCAGACTGCCCAACCAAGGGAAGGACAATTTTACACCTGCGGTTCTCTTCCTTCCCTTACCCATGGGGTGACTTTGCACGGTGCCTAAGGTGAGTGAAACAGGAGCTGGACTTACTTGGTGACTTTGAAAATCCTCAGCAGCCGCAGAGCTCTCAGCACGCTGATGCCAAACGAGGTGCCAGGTTTCACTGCAGCCCAGATGACTTCAAAGATGCTCCCCACAATGACCTGGAAGAGGAGATCATTTTACAGAAGGGAAAACTTCTGCTTAGATCCTTGTGTTGCTGGGGGCTAAAGAAGAGTCAAAAGTTGGGGCTATGATGGTTTTCCAATGAAGGTTTCAGTGTAATTTTGCAAGATTGTGAATTGGCCAACAGCAATGCAAGAGGGGTTTGGTTCTGACTTTCTGCAGTCCAATCTAAAAAGGGGCAATATCTAGACTAGACAGAGTGGGAACTCGCTTCTTTCTTCTCTAGCAAGTGAACTACTTCAAAATAGCCTTTATTAGAGGACACGAGACTTTTTCACTACTATAACTTATAATTTATATAACTGTAAGTGCTACCTGTACATATATTTCATTTGCCTACCCTGCATGGTCCAGGCAGCCCCCACAGAGATGTGGGGACATCGCCCCATCCACCTCATCCCATCAGAAAAGCACTATGGCTGCATCCCAGAGCTACAGAACAGCCAAGTGTTTGCTCCTCACTGAATGCCCAGACACTTCTGGCCACTGAGTCTTTGGGAGAGTGATTAAGATAATGGCTATGAAGAGATCCTAAAGAGTCTCTCATGTGCACATCCATCATCTGCCTCACGTTATGCAAAATAAATTGTCCTCAGTCAAGGGGGTTGGTTTTGTTTCTAATTTTTGCTGGTTCACAGAGCATTAACCTGAAGGGATAAATACCTTTTTCCCCCTGAAATCCTCTATTATAAAAAGGACAAAATAATAACGGGCTAAGCACAATCGGGAAAGGGCAATTATATCAACACGGGTTACTGCATGGTTAATTAGAGAGGATGGGCATTTCTCTGCTGATAGCTATCATTAGCTGCATTAAGCTGGCATTTCAGAGCTCACGCAGACCGTGGTCCCATGGCATGAAGCATTCCATAAACATGCTATGAGCAGCCCCAGGGAGCAGCTCAGGCCTTTGTGCACGGCAGCAGCAGAGCAATGCTGGGGACCTGCACAGTGCCGTGGCACTCAGCAGCTTGCAAACCATTTCAACAAGCAGGAGCCTGTCTGTTTTTTGAAAAACACAGCAGGACCTGCAGCTGCTCTGCAAGAAACATGGCACCCTGAGCTTCAAGGAAACACAGTGGAAAAAGGGGAACAAACAGCAGTTGCTCAGACGGTCGCTCCCATTACAAAAGGAAGGAATTAAGATTCCTCTCCCACAGCCTATCCCTCTTGGGAATCCCTCGTGAATCAGCAGAAGCCTTTCCTCAGGCACTCCACACATTACACTGATCATTAACTTCCCTGGCATCTCAGCAGGGCCCCTTGGGGGCAGTTGCACACGAGACCCCGCTGGACCGTTTCTCCCAAGACTGATGTTGCTCTGTTTTGTTGTTTCTCTCTTTGCTTTTGAACTGTTCTATCAGGATGGTTTGTCAGACTAAACTGGTTTCAGATGTCCCAGTGTGGGTGCAGGAGCCAAATTAGTTTTGGGGGGGTGGAAGGTGGGTGAGGAGAAAAACACAGACAGAAGTAGGATCCCAGTGGGTTCTCTAAAGGATGGAGAATTAGGAACATATCAACAGCTTTACCTCCTGGGAAACCCTCTGCAGAGCTCAATGCCAGTGCTGCACTCACTGTAGCATGGCAGAAAGCAGAGAGGCCTGGTGGATTTATCTCATATTGATGTCAAGCTCCTGTGTCACCTGAGCTTGACCGGCAGGAACAAGTTTAGCTTGAAACACAGAGCATTCTGGATGCAAGAATCCACACCAGCTATCTTACACTAACCAGGTTATTTATGCACTGGTTTTGTTCCATGGTTGGCTGTGCATTACTGGGCCATGCAGACAGAAAGGTCTGCACAGCACATTTCATGACCCTGATCCACTGCTACAGACACCCATCCCACCCATGGAGGGATTGGATGCAGCCAAACCAACCTCAGCCTCTCAGACACAGATGGCTCTTGGGTTTGATATCAAGGGCTGCTCAGCTCTGGGATTTCACAATGCTGCTGCCAAAAAGGGACTATGGTAGCTCTACCTGTAGAGTCTGTACTTCAGCACTAAACGTTACAGCTTTCCTGTATTACGTGTTCAGGCTTCAGGGCACTCGTGTCTGAAAAGCACTGCCTACGTATCTTGAGGTAACTGCCATGGAAAGGATGATAGGGAGATGAGCAATAAGATGTGTGGTTGTTTTTTTTTTTTAATCTTTCAATCACCTCATTTGAATGGGAGAGAGACTCTCCCATTAATCAGAGCACTTACTGGTGCTGATGCTGTGAACAGCCCGTAACTCACCGAGGAAATGAAACCCTTGACTGTCACATTTCTTCAAGAGGAATGATAACCAGGGGAGCCTTAATGTGTTTCCCTGCAGCTAATTTATATGACAAGCACTCCCTGGCAAAGACACCCTGTCGGCACCACTTCCCATACTCACTCTGAAATGCCCAGCCCTATTCAATCAGGGGGACCATGCCGCTGAAGCCTACTCACCCCAAAGTCAAAGCAGTTGAATGAGGAATGAAAGTAATTTCTTGGTCCCAGTCCATACATCTTCAAAGACATCTCAGTAAGGAACAGACCCAGAAAAACAAACTCGGCGAAATCTAGGAACCAGAGAAGAGATGACATTAGTCCAGGAGATCTCAGTGGGCAGATCTCTTCATGCAGGGAACAGCAGTCATTTTTCACAGTGCAGACTTTCTCCTGCTGGAAGAAAATCCCTTTGCAAAAGCAAACACGACCCTGAGGAGAGTTTCACATGGTTATGTCTATATGCACACGATCTGCATTCAGACCTGAGGAGCTGGGAGGTCAGTGTTGCACGTGTATTGTGGGAAGGTCCATATGAGCATTTAATAATACTCTCAATCTCTCTGTAAAGGAATTTCAAAAGGAAAGTTCTGGATCTGAAATTCCCAAAGGTCTGATTTAATTGCACAGATAACGTTCTGCAAATGCGTGCTGGGGACGTCCGTGCATATTTTGGGAGTGGGGTGTGAGCTTTTATATCCTCTCATGATAAAAATACCTCCTTACCCAACAGAGCTGCTGCCTCTGTGAGCTCAGGCTCAGAGGTGTTGGGTCTGCTGTTAGCTTTGATTCCTATTACGCCTGCACAACCACAGTTCTGGAAGAGCAAGTTTAGTTTCCTCCTGCCTCGCATATCACAGGCAAAAAGCTGCCATGATTTTGGTGGGAAAATGTATCACACCTGACAAAACAAAGGGCAGAAAGAATATAGTTGGAGTTTTCTATTTCCAGGTCAGGTTTTTAGGACTTGAAGCTATAGGAAACATTGCATTCGATGTTATAAGTTACCAAAGTTAGATTGGGAATCCAAGGAGCAGCAGCAGCAACAATGGAATATTATTTAAAAAAACAAATATTAAAAGGGTAAAAATCCCCTCAGTGCTTCCAAAACAAAGTAAAGTAGTAAAGAGATGGCACCAAGCTTCTCTCAAAGGTGCATGCTGACTGCAAAGTGGCAGTGGACACACTTTGCAGCAAGGAATGTTTCACTCAAGAAATCCCAAATCCTGGGTGTTTTGCACACCTGGAATGCATGGCTTCAGCCAACAAGCATGGGGAAAGAGAAGGGAGAGCAGCAGGCTCCCTTTAGACATGGGTTTTGCTCAGTTCTCAGCCTTGCATATTTCTCCTAAGTGCTTTTGGCCCGGGTTCATCTCACATCACTGCTTGTCTTGTGCAATTGCCTGAAAAATACAGCTTCAATTATCAAAAAATAAAAAGGGGTTTTACATTTTAAATCAAAGAAAGCCATGAAATATCATGGGCACGATGTTAACTGAAATCCAGGAAGCATCAGCTAGATGAGAATGGTTTTATTAATGCTTCAGCAGGGAGCCTACAAGGGCACTTCTGCCAACATTTACAGTAAGGGAGGGAACATCATGAGGGCATTAACTACGTACACCATGTAACAGACTCCATGAAACTAGGAGTAATAGCCTTAAAGGAGACTGCCAAGGGCAAAGCATTTAGACTTGAGGAATAAGATGGCAAAGTGTGAGGTGTGCAGACTTCCCAGCCCTTTTCCTACCAACAGGTAGGCTCCACTGGTTGGATCTTCATGCTCACAGAGCATCAAGATGGCATGGAGATGAAGGAACAGCACTTCTGCCTTCCCCTTAATGCATGGAACCTGCTTGGAGAAACACCTGCTACATCATGTCTCTATTCTTCTCTCCTTCCTGGCAGCAAAAAGGCATTTACAACACAAGGGATCCCAATGGCAATCATCCAGTTACAATGGCAATACATCTCACAGTCCAAGTGCAGAGGGTAAGGAAGGGACCAGATGAACTAAATCTCAAGCATGACATGAGACACAACAGGATAAGAATACAAAATTGAAGCAAAACCAAAACAACACGTTCAGTGGTAACAAGTTTTCCTGAACACAATTAAAAAGACTGCAAAATAGCAAGAATGTTTAAATTCTTAACTATTAATAGCTGGCCCTCTAAATTAGACGCTTAGACTGTAGCTTCCAAGCCTGACTCTAAAGTTCCATCCAGCACTTCCATTCTGCATCCTGTAGACTTTGGAAATGGTAATTAACAAGAGGCAAAACTCCCTTAGCAAAGCAGATGCATCTTCCCAGGGTGAGGAAGAATTGATGCTGTTCCTGTCACCTATTCTACTCATTAGCCCAGAGGGAAATCTTGCAGCAGTGTTTATGCTGTTTACGGAGTTGTTCCCTTGCTGGGAAGTTACCTCTTGTGTCGTAGGTTTCACGCTCAGTAGAACTCAGCATGGTGTTTATTTGAATGACTTCAATGCAAAGTGCCCCTGTCGTGAAGACTGACGTCAAACCCATGCGTTGAAACTGGTGGCCATGCTGGCAGCCCAAACTTAGAACCTTTGCAACAGGTTGCAGAGCAGGCCAACAGAAAGCACTGCACAGCCTTCACATATTTTTTGTGTCTCCCCTTCATAGGGAGTTTCTCATCCTATTTATCCACCAGACCCAATTAGCTTTCAGGCAGGCCCAGTATTCTTTCACAAAATAATGAAAATACTAGGTAGAATTTTAATTGCAATTTTCACCATCAGGTCTCAGTGCACTTCACCAGAATAATGGCAGTCATTTCATAAGAAGGGAAAAGAGGAAGGAAACAAGGATTAATATTCCATCATCCATCCACTGAAGCGTGAACAAAAAAAATAGGCGTTATCCAGTGCGATGTTTCATAGTTGGACTGATACATCCTATGCTCACACACAGATTATTATGAGAGAAAATCAGCCAGCAAAAGGCCAAAGTAAAAGAGATTCAAACAATATTTGATATAAAAATACAGGAAACTCAAAGTATCCAAGAAACAACTTCCTTCTGTCACCCTTGAAAGAAGAACCCATCTCATCCTTTCACAGCTGTTGACTTCCATCTGGAGCAGAGCTCAAAACAGGCAGGATAGCTGTATTTCATCACACACCACAGCAATGGGAGGACAGGGGATGGAGGAAAACGTGAACATGGTGAGTTCCTTCGACACAAGGAATTCACTCAGAGTGAATCAGCTTCTCCAGCTGACGGATCAGAGACGTGATTCCTTCTGACGTGGCCCTGCCCATTTAATTGAAAATGCAATTTTGTTGTTTGGACCTCCTGGTGTTCAGACCCCACAAGTAATTTAATCTGCCTTAAAAAGAAGCATTTTGTAATGAAATTTTAGTTAAAAAGTTTGATATTAAGATTCTTATTTAATTAAAAATTTCTGCCATTGGCAAAGGCCAAGCTAGTATCTTTTTGCCCCAAACTTTTGACTTAGATATTCAGCGGCTCTTTTTTGTCAATCACCAATGGATTAATTCAATTTCTGCCCTGGATCAATCCAAGTCTGGTGTCATTAAGAGCAGGTTCAAGCCTGCCACTTCTGTTTCCTTTTCTCTTTCTCTTTGTACAACCAGGAGGAGAACCTCAGTGAATTACAACTTCTCCCTCTGACAAGGCAGACATGAAATGTTCAGCAGACATAAATAAATATGCTCGTTTGAGAAAGCCTTTTCTTTGCAACCACACATGCTGCATATTTATATCCAGAGGGAGCTGGCTATCTACTTCAAAGGCAAACACAATATCATCAACAAGGCATAACTGCATCAAACACGGGGTTCAACACAGCACAGCACTGCGAAGCTGTTCTCAAGCTGTAGTGTCTAAAACACTGCTTTCCGATATTGTGCTATTCAGAATGGAGGCATTATAGAACTCATTCTTAGACAAACTGAGAAGCAAGCTGAAGATCCCCACAGGATTAGCGAGAGAAATCCAGAGAGAGTTGCTTCATGGAGGGCAGCCATAAGCAAAGAGAAGTCTGGTGAGAAGGCTCCCTCCTCCCAGGTGAAAACTTACTGATTTAATCCAAAATCCTTCTCACCACAGTTCCTAAAACCTGATTTGGGGATGCCACGGAGCTCCAGGTCCCTCACCCCTGGAAGTGCCCAATGCCAGGCTGGATGGGGCCCTGGGCAGCCTGATCTGCTAGGGGGCAACCAGCCCACGACAGGGGTCAGGACTGAATGATCTTTAAGGTTACTTCCAACCCAACCACTCCATGACTCTGTGATCTAAACTGCGTGCCCACATTACAGATTTTATGTTTTGATGTCCTTACTGATGAAGATGCGTTTTTTCTGCAACTAGACTTCAAGTGATGCTTGTCTCTGCTAGATTAGAGAGTTCTTTTCTGTCAGAATTCTCTTGGTGGAAATAAGTGCAAACAAATGGCCGTGGCACACTTTATGGGCAATAGCCTTCTACAGGGAACTGAAACTTGCTTAATTGATAGCCCATGCTCTGGGGAAAGGCACATGCCATGTATGGTTGTGCAGTATAAGATAACTTACTGCAGTGTAAGGCACTGGAGTCCTTCCCATACAGGGAAGGAAAACTTCCAATTTAATTTGGAGATAACCACAAAAGCATGAGGTATGTCCTGTTATTCACCATACCTCAAGAATACCAGAAATTTCTCATCAGGGTGAATAGCCAGCTCTTACAATAAGACTAAATAAATTCCAAGCCCCTCTGTAAAGCTCCTACTGTTCCCTTTTCAAAGCAGTTGCAGCAACATGGAATATCAAGTAGAGAAAGCTAATCAGAACAATTCGACAGCAGAAAAGTTAAAAGACCACAGGAAAAATAAATCAATGCATACCTGCAAGGCTTTAACCCACCGTTCTTTAAGTAAAATTAATTTGTAACGTAATTAAACTTTCCCCCAGAGGGACAGGCATAATTGAATTAGAGGTGCTTGGTAGAGTTGCAGGGTTTAACAGATCTTCTCAGACTTCACCACACTCCTCTCCTTCTGCCACAGCTCACACAGCTCCTCGTTGGCCCATTTCCGAGCACCTTCCATGGAACAACTTCGTTAGCATTGGCTGCTTCGATCACTCTGCATCCCACCAGCCAAGCCCTGCTCCTCTGCTGTGAAACTCCCTCACCATGGATTAACTCTAAAGCCACTCCTAAACTGTGTCACTTGTACGGTTAAAGGATTTGGCCAAGTGCTTCCAGAAGCTATTTAAAATCCACTGGTTTTTGTAATATCCTGTTCTGCCTGTATCTAAAGGATTTGTGAACGAGCCTTGGGCAGGAGAGTGCTTTCAAGGAGCACTCCTCAAGAGCTGAACTGCAGATGGGCTTGTTCACAAATGTGTTTGGTGCCGGGTTAACGAGGATGGCTGTGGTCAATGTACACAGGAGGGAGAGGAGTCAAGCCCAGTCTTACCATGAAAGCAATACTGAGAAAACCAGTTAGTCCACACGTGGCCCAGCGTACCTTAGGGCATAAAATTCCTTGTATTCAACAATAAACTTTAGATTAGCAGAAAAGATTGTGCCAAAAAAACAGTAACATCCCCATGAAGTTGAGAACAACTCAATAGTAACACTTGCTCTTGGGTGGGTAGTATCATTGAATCCTAGAATGTCTTGGGTTGGAAGGAACCTCAAAGACCATCCAGTTTCAACCTGGTCCCATGGGCAGGGTTGCCAACCCTTAAATCAGGCATCAGATGAGACTGCCCAAGGCCCCATCCAACCCTTTGGAGCACCCACGACTTCTCCAGGCAGCAGCATCCTAGCATCAAGAAATTCAAGTATACCACCCACATTTTTCTGAATGTAATTCACAAGTTGAACATGAGGAAAATTTCACAGCTCCTGAAAGATAAACCCACCCCAGTCCCTGATTCGAGGCACAACACAATTTCAACTTTCCCTTCTTCCTGTCTGCAGCTGAGGTTGGTTGGGAGCCTAATTAATGGCTGCTGTACCAAATACAATTCCCACCTGGAGGGAATTTCATTATAATCAACACAAGCAACCCTAGCAGCTCCCAGGTGAACATCAAGCAGAAGTTGCTGGCTCACAACTTTCTTAATGTCCTCTTAGAAATGTTACTGCATAAGGTGTTCCCAAAAGAGAGCTTGGAAATCCGTACTCTTCCTTTTTAAGCTGAAAGACTTAAAGTGTTACTTTTTTCCAGATATTTAGTCCTAATTCAAAAGGAAATCCGAAGCTTTACACTGCTAATTACTCTGCCAATCTAGCTTTTCAATGTTAAATCTGGGAAATGAAGAAGTGAGACTGATTTCTCTGTGTGGTCTGTCTTTTCAGTCCAAATCTTGCAAGAGAAACAGTTGAAAGGAGCTTCTGTCCTCCTCACGCATTTCATTATAACTTCAGTTACCTGTCAGTATTAAATATTTCAGCAAACATTAATAGGGTGCTTTTTGAAGTCAGAGCAGCTAGTATTCCTGACCCCGTAGCCCTATAAAAGAAAAACTTCAAAAGTTTGCTCCTTTATACATTATTATAAGACCTGAAGATGTGGGTCTAGAAATATTTTGAGTATGTAATTTATATAGAAATCAATGAAAATTAGGTAGATAAGTAACTTTAATGATCTAAGCCACGCTTATTAATTCAGACTGTTTGAAATATTTTTTCCCCTAGACTTTTTTCTCACTTTAGAAGTTTTACTCATATTCTCAACTTGCCCCATCTGAATAAAGATGTGTTTCTGGCTGTTTGACAGACTCAGAGATGGCTGATTTTATGGCTCTGCCTTCCAGAAACAAACCTTCCACCCCCTGCCTTCCCAAAGCAAAGCTCATGGAGTCCCACTCTCAGTGTTATCCCATTCTGACCCAATATATTCAAACAAATTTTCCATTTCCAGTAGTCACAGCCTGCAATCTTCATTAAAATAAAAGCTCAATTCACCATACTCCTTTTTTTAACAAAAGGCTTCATGAGCAACTCTGCAACCTCAGCATAACACCACAACGGGCATCCACTGATTTTCTATCACGAGACAGAACTATTGGCAATTAAAAAAAATAATAATAATTTAAAAATAACAAATTATACCTCAAAAGAACCCGTAACTATCTGAAGCCTCATACTGATGGGCGACCACAGGAAACAAACTAAAAATAAAGCTTTATCACAAGTGTAATAAATCCACTCTACGGTATTATTTGTATTGCTACTCCATGTACTTTCACAGAAGGGCATCCTGAGGTTTATCCGTTTATTTAAGGAAGACACAATTATCAAAAAAGCTCTTTCGTAAAGTTGCAACCAGTTAAGGAATATAGAAGTAATTGCTAAGAGTGCAATAAATTAGCATATGACTCTGTAATGGTTTTTCCTCCCAGGTAGCCTTGGTGGTGGCACTTACAGTCATCCCAGCACTGACAGAGCTTTGGATTTGTCCACAACAGAAATACCCATGGATGCAGATTAGCTGCAAAGTAGCACAAATTCTGCAGTTCCTCCGACAGAGCAAACCCCCCTCTGACATCACCAGACCAACACATGGTTGAATCACATGGTTGAGTTTCGGGTACAGTTTAAGATCACATTCCCACATCATCCCAAACCATGAGATGAGACTACTGATGTAGTCTTTTTCTGAAAGACTCAATGAAAACATGACTCAATGAAATATGACTCAACAAACCTACTAGAGCAATTCATTAATGCATTTGCCACCCTACTCTAGAGAGACCTAGGAAGCCACAAACAGACCTCATGAGGATGCGACACCAGTGCTGCGAGCAGCCAAAACACAAGACCCAGAGAGGAAAGGTGCAGGAGAAGCCCCTGGTACTCACACAGAGCAGTGGTGAGTTTCTCTGGCTGATCATAGTGCACCATGGCGACGCAGAGCGTGTTGAGGGCAACCACGCAGAGCACGATCCAGTAGAAGCTCTGGGCTTTCACCATGCGCCGGATGAAGAAGCGGAACATTTTCTCTTTCCTCCTGAAGTAGGATGAGCTCTCATTTTTCCCACTCTTCAAACTGGCACGGGCAAAAGGAGACCCTGGGCAGTGAGGCATAGAAAGAAGAGTCACCACAGCACATCCAGGCAGGAGAAAGGCCAGAGGATGCCCATGGGCACACAGACCTGCTCCTGAGCACCAGGCTGAGCACCAGGCTGAGCACAAAGCTGGGCACACTGAGAACAGACTGAGCACAGGCATCTCACTTGCAATGACTTTGCAAGGGATGAAGGCTGAGATTTTAGAACTTCATGGCTTAATACTCAGTTCCATCATCAGTAGGAAGGGGGCTCCCAACTCCCTAAAGCTAGTCTGAACGTCCCAGCTGAACTCATAACCTTTAGGATCCCAAGTCACTGCAGCAACAAGGTGTTGGGCATGGTGGTGGGCTGGGTTGGGTTGGGCATGGTGGATGTGCATGGAGCACATCCCCTTGGAGCTGTGCAGCTGCCAGCAGGTCCCTACATCCCCACTCAGAGCATCAGGCACAGCCAAGCCCTTGTTACCATACTGAGTCTCCTTATTTTACTCTGACTTCACATTTCTCTGCAGCAGAGGGCTCAATCTGCCTCCATGCATCATGTTTTGGGCACAGCTTCTCATTTGTATCCATTCTGCCTTTATCAGCTACATTTCAAGTCTGCTCTGAAATCCTGGAAGAGAATCAAATGTTTTAATAATAGCAAGCTGACGGAGGAAACAATTCCTAATGTAAGCTCTCCCCCTGAGGTAGAAGCACCGTCGAAAGGAGTGATGGAAAAGCAATCTCTGGTCAGTGCAGAGCACATGCATCCGTGGGAGTTCTTCTGCAACAGCTACAAGTGCTGTTGCAAGCAGGGTAACTGGTGATGGCCACAGGCTCTCTGCTACCTGCATCACACTGTGTTCACACTCCTCTGATTGCAAACCTTGTCTGTTGGCAGTTCAAGGTGAAGCCTTGGCTTTCACTGTCATTGGCTGTTGCCTCCCAGTGGGTAGGAATGGCCAGGACACACACTGCCCTGCTTGGAGCAAGCATCATGATAGCAGGTGACCCACACTGGCTCTCCTTGCAGATGGCTGAGTTACATGAACAAAGTGTTCTGGCTATGGCAGCCAAGTGATCCGAGTGCACTCGTCGGCATTTCAACACCTCCAGTGATGGAAGGGGTGAGGATCTCACCTGTGTCATCTCGCAGTAACACCAAACACTGCAGTCATAGACGGGTGGTGACAGCAGGGAGCTGTGCAGCACCACCTCCCTACCAGCAAGCTCCGTGCTCCTTTGCTCGGTTCTGGCCATCCAACATCCAAATGCAGGGCTGCACCTGGCTGAGTTACGAACCAAATCCTTGCTGGAAAGCTTAGTGGGCTGTTGTTTTATTAGTTTGATAATCTTTCCTTTGTTGGTGTAGAAATTGACAGTAGTAGTGCTCATCTGTTGTTTTAAGGTGATAAAATGAAATACGGGTTAAGAAATTTTACTCAGCCCGAGGTGATACTGCACCTCAAATGCTGTGTTCTGCTTTGGGCGCCTCACTACAGGAAAGACATGGAGGTCCTGGAGCATGTTCAGAGACAGGTAATGAAGCTGTGATGGGTCTGGAGCACAAGTGTGATGGGGAGCAGCTGAGGGAGCTGGGATGGAGGAGGGAGATCTTACTGCTCTCTACAGTTGTCTGAAAGAAGGTTGTGGCGAGGTGGGGGCCAGCCTCTGCTCCCAGGTAACAGTAATAAGACAAGAGGAAATGGCCTCAAGTTGTGTCTGAGGGAGGTAAGTTCAGGTTGGGTATTAAGAAAAATTTCTTTAGAGAAAGGGTGGGCACAGGCTGCACAGGGAGTGGTGGAGTCACCATCCCTGGAGGTGTTTCAGAACCATGGAGATGTGGCACTGAGCAACATGGCCATTGGGATGGGGGGACTGGTTGGGATTGGACTCGATGATCTTAGGAGATCTTTTCCAACCTTAATGGTTCTACGATTCTGTCTTCCAGGAAAGAATATCAGGCCACACTATGTATTTAAATTGATTTAAACGTGGAAAACATCCTCTTTCCTAGAGATGTCTCTAGCACAGCTTGGAGAGTGAGGAGCCAGCACTGACTGCTGCAGGCTGGTTAGTGCAGAGAAAAGTCAAAGAGTCAGGAGAAAATGAAAGAATAAATCTTAAGAATAACTCCAGAGAACACACTGGGAAGTGTTTACCGCTATCGAGCTTTATAATGCAATTATAAGGCTCATTGAGGTACTTGTATTTGAATTAAAGTGCAACGTATGCAGGCAACAGCCAGCAAGAGACCTGTCAGCATCTCTACCCCTCCGGTCTGCATCACTTTGCACTCAGTAATTGCATTGTTAGTTCTTCCACAATCCTTATGCTCTCATCAGCAAGACGCGATAGCACAAGGAAACCATTCAAAAAAAAAAAAACAACTTTGCTCAAAAACATATTCCTCATGCATAATCATCCATATGATCTGTTTGTTTATGTTATGAAATTTCAGTCTTTCCAGAGCCTGCAGAAGGATCTGCTTGCTTTATCCACTTCTTTTTTGACTTGTTCCACAAATCAGAATCAAACCCGCTTTTCCCCAGTGGATGAACCGCTCGCAGGAGGTGGAAAGCACTGCTGTTATTTTCCCTGCCATATGCTCCAGAGACAGTTCCCAGCTCTGCACCAGATTATGCACGAGCCCAGATGCTCTGTCATCCGCTGCCACCTGAAAGGCTGAACAGAGAGATCTGTTTGGATGGCATGGGTGCCCAGTGCCTGGAGGGACTTGGATGTGACTGCAAAGATCTCGTAACGGTTGCAGCCATCAACAAATGCTTCAGAAATGACCACTGCTTGTTATCCATGCAGGGATCCGAGCAGCTCAGAAAGAAAACAAAACAAAAACCACACATGGCTGCTGCAGTTTTGCCTTCCTTCATCAGCTTCTCTCATAAGATTGTCAGCAGTTTGGCCATATAACCCTGTAGCAGTTCAGCAGAGGGTGATGGTGTCAGGAACACGCAGAGCAATGCTCATTTACAGTGAGCAGGTCTTCATTTAAACGGGGAAAAAAAAAAATCCAGCAGCAGCTGTGATCTTCTAAAAGGTTAATGCCAAATTTCCAAAGAGTATTTGAGGCACTCATGCTTGCAAGCATACATGAACATGTACTCTCAAGTGTACTGTTTGTGCTGCTGCCCTTATGCATCCAGGATTTGCTGCTTCGTGGTATCTGGGGTGCCAAGACATTTCTTTGGAAGATAATGAGAACATCTGCTACTTCAGCAGCAAAACAAAATACAAACTCAAAGAACGGGGAGAGAAGCAAGCTAAACAACTCCAAAGCAGGCAGGGAGATGTCTCTCCAGCCAGCAAAGAAAAGCCACAACTGACGGATGCCCACCGAGACCCCATTCTCTGGAGTGCTAGGAGCTCCCATGCAGACCCCCACTGGCCTCCCCTGACAGTGCCTGAGTGGGACCTGGCTGCCCAACAATTTGCAGGACAAGTAGGACCACGAGAGCCTGACACACTTGTGTTCTTTGGAACTGAAGCGTTTCGGGTAGGACAAGAGGTTTTGATAGAACAAGAGCTAATGGCCTCAGGTTGCACCAGGAGAGGTTCAAGTTGGATACTAGGAAAGATTTCTTCTTCTCAGAAAGGGTGGGAATGCATTGGCACAGGCTGCACAGGGAGAAGGTGGAGTCACCATCCCTGGAGACGTTCAAAAACCATGGAGATGTGGCACCGAGGGATGTGCTCAGTGGGCATGGTGAGGATGGACTTGGTGATCTTAGAGGCCATTTCAACCTTAATGATTCTATGATTCTATACCAAATTTGCAGCAGCAACGGCAGACTTCATAGGATGCCCCCCTCTATACTGGAGGTGTGTGGGCAATCACATGGCTGTGCATCACCATATCTGCCTTTAGAAATGGGAAAACTCAATGAGAACCCTTGCTAAGGCAAGAATGAGGAGTCGAGGGCCACTGTCCAGCATTTCCCAGTGCCCATTCCTCTTGGCAAATCCATACACTGCCCTGTCGTGGCAGATGTGAGTAAATGTCTGTCCACTTCCTGTCCTCCCCACAACAGCTGAGGCTTAGCAGGAGCGTTCGACATATTTGGGTTTCATTAGCGTGAATGAACACATTCCAAGCAGAACCGTGGGGTGCCCAGCATAGTGTGGTATCTCCAGGCATTTGGGCTCTGCTGGAGGTGCAGCATGCAATAGCGTGGCAGCAAGGGGAGTGGGTGAAGCTGCAGTGCCTTTGGCTTTGGTAAACTGAGTGATTTCCCTTTCGGAGCAAAAGAGCCGCTTGGAAAAAACGGGACATGAACGTGTTTAGTTGAAGGTCTAAAACCTGGGGGAATGCGAAGCCAGTACTCACCAACGGAGCAAATGTCTGTGAAATGGTCCTCACCTTCTTCAGCATGAATCAGGTCGTTTTTGCTCTTCTTTATTGCGGCTCTTTTCAACACTGTGTACAAATTAAAGAGAAAACGCCCCGTGAGCTTTCAGAGTGGGTTCTCTCTCCCCCTCCCTTCTCTCTCTCCATGGCCAGCACTTACTGCCCAACACCAGCTTCGAGCTCTCACACAAGGGCAAGCTGGAGCAAACTGGCCAACCCACAGCCTTGCAGGGCCTCTGCATGCCTCGATGCAGGGCAGTTCTTCACTTAACCTTCTAGATCCTGAAGGCTTGCCAGGCACAGTTCTGCATGCTTACACAGAAGCAAGAGGATGGGAGGGGGGAGGGGGGGGTCACTGCAGCTGCTGGACCTTTTAGCGCAGCAGAAAGGCTGGGCAGGGTCACTGAAACTCCCTGAGCCCCCGTGGGTCATGAGATGAGTGCTTCCATCCATTAAAAACATTAATGCTGTTTACAGTGTGCACCATTAAGAAGTTAGCATTTACAGGGCTTGGGTACAGCTTACCGCAGAGCGATGCCTTAAGCAGCGAAAACACTATGGTGAAAGCAACTGCTGCAAATCAGTGCACGCACTCTTAATAGCACCCACTGCACAACCCCTTCCCCCTGGGAACGTGCTAGCTCTTTGAGAACACATTTTGTTCAACTGCATCTTTTATCGGGAGGGTAAACATCGCTGCATCGGTTTACACGAAGGAAGGAGAACCGCAGCCTGAGGCTGGGAGAGGTCTGCACTGCTCACCCCAGCACACACGGGGAAATGCAGGATGCTGGGCCCGCCACCACCTACCTGCAAACCTCGAGAACTAGCAGAGAAAAAATACGTCGACACAGTTTTGTCACAGCTTCAAGACATACAGGAACTAAGCACCGCTTGCTATCAGCAGTAAGACACCCCACGGTGTGGTGATACAGACTGGTCAGGAGGCACACACAGCAAGCCCACGCACTCCACAGCGACTGACATGGGGGTGGGTTCGTACGAGAAGACTCTCTCACCCTACACCAGTTTCCCTGCCTTGCAAATGGATTCCTTCCTTCACAAATTAGTGCTCATGTCACCTCGAGGGAGCCCCCAGAACACCTCCCAGGTTCAGAGGCTTGAAGAACACAAAATGCTCTCCACCCGCTGTTGTAACCTGGATGTAATTTTTACAGATAAATGAACCACCTCCTTTATCTTCTTTCCCCCCCAAAAAGAAGTTCTAAATTTAGCAATTAGAGTATACCATAGAATCGTGGAATGCCTTGGGTTGGAAGGAACCTCAATGATCATCTAGTTCCAACGTCCCCGCGGGCAGGGTTGCCAACCAAGAGATCAGGCTCCAGATCAGGCTGCCCAGGGCTCCATCCAGCCTGGCCTTCAACAGTTCCAGGGATGGGTTCATCCACATCCTCTCTGGGCACCCTGTGCCAGCACCGCATCACCCTCTGTGACAAACTTCCCCTTGGCATCTAATCTACATCTCCCCTCCTTTAGTTTAAAACCATTCCCCATCTCTGCAGATACTTTGGATGCAACATTCCCATGTTGGAGGCGATTTACTAGCAGAGAGGTGGGCTGCTCTATATCAGTTGCCCCTTCGAGGCTGGGAAGATTGGCTTAAGCTTACCAGCAGGGATGAAACCTTGGTGTATCTCCGAATTCTACGGCCTGCACCCACCTCTAGTTTGCTTACAGCACTCAACTCTTCAGCTCTTCCAGACGCTCATTGCAGCTCAAGACCACAAACCCTGGCTATACCCACACACCACCGCACACACACACACACACGCACAGAAAGATTTGCCAAGTGCACCTCAGCCCTGACCTCCTTCCAACCCCAGGTCCTCCCGAGCACAGGTCACACAGCCAAGCCAGCAGCCGGGCACGGATTGCACCGGGAGCCACCGAGCTCAGAGCAAGGAGCCAAAGCAGGTGGGAAGCATCGCTGGTGACCTGGGCGCTCGGGGCGAGGGGGATGCGCTGCCCCGCTTGTGCCACCTGAGCCCCTGATGATTTGCAATCCACTCACTGTTGTAGCTGCTGCCGCTGCTAGTCTCTGCCGGTGCCGTGCCTTGTTGAATCGGCCCTTCCGAGGCGGCCCTCCCTGACAGTGAATGGGAGGAGAAAAAAAAAGAGGGGGGAAAGGGAGGGGAAGGGAAAAGAGGAGACATGGGAGGACGAAAGATGGTCAGAAAAGGGAGAGGGAAGAGTCTTTAACTGAACTTTGACTGTCGCACCCTAAGAGCTCATCGGTCTCGAGGCACAGGGAGAGCGATCCCCGCATCCTCGCTGCACTGTGTCCAAAGCTCCAGCCGGCCTGACAGCTAGGGTCGCACGTCGGAAGATAGGATCACCACACCCTGTTATGTCTTACTGCTTACAAGTAACAGGGGTCTTAGTCTCTTTGTCACGTCTGTTGGAAACCTCGGTTCAGAGCCCTGCCTTCTCTCAGTCGATGCATTTCTCTCCTGGCATCGCCCTGCAGCCTATCCCCAGGCACAGCCGCCCCCACCGCACTGTGGGCCCCCAGGCAGTGCAGGGACCAACTGACCCCAAGGGCAGATCCCCATCCCAGAGTGGTGTCACATAACTGCTCATCATCCACCTTCAACCTCAAAAAGGCCTGGGAAAAGGGACTCTTTAGCCCAACTTATTCCAAGTGCATGCAAGAGCGTGTTCCTCACACCCTTCTGGTTGCAGCAGAAAGCCATGTCAGCATACAGCAGGTGAATCTCTCGTGTTGCGGGAGGAAAACCACACAGCAAAACGACCTACCGTCCAGAGGAGATTTCTCTTCTGCGTTCTTGTCTTCCTCAGCCAGCATGACCTCCTCTGTAAGGAGAAAAAAAGCCAGGCTCAACCTCAGATTTATCACATCCCGACTCTAAAAACAGATGAGCTGGATGCAGCAGACCTCTGTCTCAGCTGCTTTATCCCGTTGCATTACCCAGTATTACCCAGTTACACCAAGCCTGTAGAGGAAGGATGGTTCACAGAGCTGTTTTTGTTACCCTGTGCCCTTCTTGCATAGGGAAGGAGGTTAGCCTACACTACCTACAGCATTCCTCCATGACCTTCACAATGAGCTGGTTACTTCACCAAGCTACCACACACAAGGGATTTCTGTAGAGCACGAACACTTTCCCAGCCCCAAGCAAAGCCAAAGCAGGTCCCGCTTGCCCATACATATTGGAGACTCCAAGGAGTGAAGATATTCTATGGCCATTGCCACACTTATGTCTCCATCAGTAAGACCAGGACTTAACCTGGAGGGAAGGGATCCATGTCTCACGGCACAAGGTAACACAAGTGGGGCTGTGCCACATTGCAGGGGAAAAAAGTCACCAAACAGCCACTGGATCAAATATTTGTCAAAATAAAATCAATGGGAAGGTGGCCACAGCAGAGTTCAGGCTAGCACAGTTCAAAGTGCAGCACATGTGAGATGCCACCGTTGACTTTCCATTCCTATATAGTCTCCAAAATATGAGTTTATACTTTCCTACGCTACAAGAATTCGAAGAGCACTGAAAAAAAAAAGAAAAATAAAACCCACCACCCCTCAATCAGAAATGACTCATTTCTATCTGCGTGAGAACGACCAAATTTCCCAAGGTTTCACAATGCAAATGTCATCGCCCAAGTCACACACCACACACTGCACCAACACTTGAAACCTCACAGTTCATATGGTCTGAACTACAGATTTGAGCTTGCTGCTGTGAAATTATGTAAGGGTTTTCTAAAGGATGATCTGAACTGTACAGAATACTGAATTGGCAGCTGGTAAACTGCCTTCTGTTATTAAAAATGACAAATTCTTCCATGTTTGGCAGAGACGTAACTTAGGATCTTACTAAGAGATCTGACACTGCATTCTTACAAAACTTTACTCAAAACCCCATTTAAACCAGCCTAGATGGAAGGCTAACTACAAAAATAACAGCAAACCACAGCCAAACATCAAAGTGTAAAGCTAAAAGAGCTGTCTGGAGGAATACTGGAGGGATCAGCACTACCACACAAGTCTTATATAATCTCTTTATTAATCATCTGGGGGAGAAAGAGAATGAATGATACATTAATAAGACAGCAAATTGAGACGGCTGGAAAATAATATTAAGGACTTGGGGAGACAAGAAACCTAAGCAGAGGAGAACAAAACAAAATGCAAACTAATGCACCAAAGACACAGAAGAGGGAAGGAAATCAGTGGTGCTGGGAGAGGGTTAAAAACGTCAACTGAGCTGTAAATCTGGACTTTAAAAGGCATGAAATCATTTAAAAAAAAAACAAAAAAAAAACCAAAAAACAATGTAATTTGGGTTTTTCTGGAAATTCCTTGGTTGGGTTGGACAACTGAAATGGGCTTTTTTTTAGATGGCTCGAGAACCTCCTCTCTCAAAGCTCAAAATCAGAAGGTACTTCTGAAGCCTCGCCTAGGGAAAAGCTGCAGTGGTATTCCAGGGTTAATAACACAGAAAGAGTTAAACAGAATTAATGACCATTAATAACAAACACGGTTGCCCTAAAACAGAAGGGATGCTTAGATAAGATGGCCCCTTCCCAAAGGCAGCCAGACAACAGGTCTGCAAATGGGATGGACAAATACAAGCTATGCTGTGGGACTGCTGGGAGCAGATGCACGGCCATGCAGGTGGTGAGTAATAAAAGTAATGAGCTAGCAAAGGGCAGCAGGTAGGCAGCTTCTCCTTAGGAGCTACACCAGATAAGGGCAGTGCAAGAGGTGTCTTTGTGAGGAAGATCTCAGCCAGACCTGGCATGCTTGCTGGTCAGTGCTCTGAGAGTTGCTGGCTTCCATCACATCATGTTAAAAGTTATTTCATGTGCTCCGGTAAAGAAAGAGCCTGTTTGCTTAGGTGGAGACCCAATTCTGCACCAGAATGGCACACACCAGTGGGACCTGAGAATTTGCAAGTTTGATATCAGTGTATTTCCACCTATGAAATACAGAGTCCTGAGATAACTCTGCAGGCCAGATGAGCCCTTATCTCAAATCCAAGGCCATGCTTTGATCCCTGACCTATCTCCCTCCACAGACATCCCTCATCCAAGGCTCAGCTCTGCTGTCACTTTAAAATAACCAAAAACTCCATCTCATCTGTGCATTGTCTCAAGCCTGACTCCTCCATTCTCATCCTCCACAGTCACTCCCATCTGCTTTACATCCACCAGGAACTGCAAGATCACATCCAACCCCAGTGGGGCTTTAGGAGGTTTCAAAACCTGCTAATAAGACAATTCAGCAGAAGGAAATCACGTTGTTACCGGGATTTTTTTTTTAACCATCCTTAGCAGACGCTCAGAAGTCGCATTGCCTTTAGTCATCACTGTAATAGAGACTGGCAGAAGATAATTAGGGAGCCTGAAAAACCTCCGAAGAACAGTTCCTCTGCATTAAAAGAGATATCCAACAAAGACACAGTATTGTATCAGCAACTTCTAGCCTCCAAACAAAGGCATGGGACCTTCACCAGGATATCAGAGCAAGAAGTGTCTCAGCTGTAAGATTCATTGCTGGTCATTAAGCACTGACAATGCTCAGCACATCGAAGGACTGGGAATCAAAGCAGGCATCCTGTACTGAAGAAGGGAAGGGAACTGAATTTAACCACCGAAGCTTCAAATATGTTAAGTAGATAAAGCAAATAAAATGCATCTCTTAGAAAAAGGCCCCATGCTTTCATTCTAATTATTGAACCCTAATTTGTCTTTTTAGCAACTCTCCTCTCTGGCCATCTCACACATGTTGCTGCCAGTTTTCATGGATGTAAGGTTACTTTTCCCAGCTGTATCAAGGGCTTGCTGCTCTGTTTCTTCTACAGAAAGCTGAAACCTGAGGCAAAGTTTTGTTGTGTCGGGAAATGGCATGGGTTGATGGCAGTCACAAGCGTGGGTTGATGGTTGGACCCAACCTTAACCATTCCATGTTACAGTGAGCCAAAAGAGAAAAGTGCAACCCATTCACAAAGTCTGCTTACTCTAGAAGAAAAGAAATGCTCAGAATCGGTGCTGTGTGGAAGAGATGGACTGGCAAAGAATTAAAATGCAGAAGACAGGAGACTTTCTGAAAGGCTTTCAGTCCCTGAGCAGTGTGTTTTCAAAATGATGCACGTCCTTGTAAGATAAGAGAAACACCTTCAAAAGAATATTTGTGGACCTATAAGCTCTTTACTCCGTGCAGGGAACCCAGTTCTCTGCTCTCCCATAGAAAGGCAGTGTGACAGCCTCACAGCTGCTGCAGTTTCAAGGAGTTTAACTGAAAAAGCAGCAGTGGCAAAATCATTTGCATGGATTACATTGTTTGACTTCACCGTGTTTTAATGGTTGGACTGGAAAAGTACCATTTTTTGAGAATGGTTCACCTGTGCCTGGAGGAGAGGTGGTGGTAAGTATTGCTTTTTGCACCTCTGTCAGCTGATTGCCAGCATTGAGAATCATAGAATTGCTCAGATTGGAAAACACCCTCAAGATCATCGAGTCCAAACTCAACCCAACCATACCACCCTAACTCTAACAACCCTCTGCTAAGTCATGTCCCTGAGCACCACATCCAGATGGTTTTTAAACACTTCCAGAAGGGAAGACTTGGTCTGTTTAAGGGATTTGCTAAAAACAGAAAACTGACTTCTGTTGACATTCAAGTTAGGACTACTGGTCCATTTCTAAATGAGCCAGACCTTTTGCTTCTAAGTAATACATGCAGTCAAAATTTATGGGTTTGACATGGCAATTGACATAGTAATTGCATGAATTACTAGCCCAAATTCTATGAGAAGCAAGAAATTGTGATTCGACCATTGCTTCTGGCCTGAAACTCACAGCACTGAGCATCTGACTGCTTTGAAGACACTGCCAGGTTTATAAGTCATGTAGTGCAACGGGACATTTTTTTCACAGCATCTCCAAAAGGACTCCACTGAGTTACAATTTCACCCAGAGGGTGGTGAGGCACTGGAACAGGTTGCCCAAGGAGGCTGTGGATGCCCCATCCCTGCAGGCATTCAAGGCCAGGCTGGATGTGGCTCTGGGCAGCCTGGGCTGCTGGTTGGTGACCTGCACACAGCAGGGGGTTGGAACTGGATGAGCATTGTGGTCCTTTTCAACCCAGGCCATTCTATGATTCTATGACAATTTTCCATGCTGGACCTTTTCTCCTGGCCTCATGACAAACACATATGAGCACTGTACATGAAATCTCCTGTTATTTCATTTTAAAGATATTTGAACTCTCCTGAACATCCTATGTCTGCATTCTTCAACGTACATGAGAAGTAGATGAAGAAACAGTTTCATCCCTGATCTCTGTTTGATCCTATTTCAAGGAAGTAAATCCAACTTCTAAGGGAAGTGATTGGACAGTGCGTTAATTTTTCTTTTAAGTCACACGTGTCTAAATTCAGCACTGCATTAGCTCTTACAATTCTTCCCTTTGTTCCCAGCCCTTCAGTAAATAAAGAAGGGATTTGTTAAGCACTCCATCAATTAAGGCTTCTTGTACTAAGCATAAGAAGTAGTCACACATTAAGGATGCCATTGTTTAAAACACCTTACTAGAGATTCCTCAAGCAGATTCACTGCTGATTGTATTAAACAATCCTCATCTAAAATAGCCTAAGCTACAATTGCTTCAGTTTCAAGTATAGCTGTACTTCTGGTGATTAATCAAGTACTGAGCTGGCACCAAAATATTTCAGCTGTGCCAAAGTACCTCCTTGAAAACTTTGCAGGTATTATTTATTAATATTATCTTCCTTTTTATAGCCTTATTTCATCACTGGAAAAAAATAATAAAAAGTTCTCCTAGAAAAAAGGACAGATGTATAGACAGTTATCAAAGGCCCAGGCTGCTAAGGAGTTTCATTCTTACAACATAAGTGTCTGTTAAGATAACTCATTAGACCAAGTCTACAACATGATCGAGTCACATAGCATTTAAGAAGTAGAAAACAAAGACCCATTGTTTTCTTCAGGTGTACTGAACAGACTCCTAATTGTAGTCAGTTCAGTACAAGGAATTAATGGTATCAACCTCCAAAGTTTATCAGAATCACCTGTTTAATGCAACACGTGCAACAAGAGGTAATAAAATTTTATTCACTTTACAAATAAAGATGGGTCTAAGAAACATTAAAAGTGACTCTAAGTGGTCAATAAATGATGAGCAGAACGCCAAATCAAAATCACTGTTGACAAACGGGAGGTAGCATACAGATGAAGGAATATTTCAGTCATTCAAATACTTCCCTTGGTACTAAATGAGTTACAGCCCTTGAGCTAAGAACCTGAGCATGACAGAGAGCAAGGAAACCTCCCTTCCAGCTCCAGTAACTACTCAGTATATGGAAACTGTCACAGAGCAAAGTCAACCAGGTTAAGACTCCCCTTAAGATGCTTTCCACTCTTCCTACCTTGCATCAAAAATAAATGAGAGAAAAAAATGAACAAACAAAATGCTCAGAGATAGATACTATAAATATTAGAAGCCTGGAGAGCCTTCCATGGGAAGGGAAGAAATGAGCAGATTGGCTCTGCACGCTTTACAGCAGAAAAAAAATAAGGTGAAACAAGGTAGAAATGCAGCAGAAAAAGAGGAGTAATAAAAAGAAATATATTCGAGTGCAGGAAGACAACACATTTAAAATTAAGGAAGAAAATATTTTTTCTTCATTCAAACCAACTATAAATGTGTGGAACTCCTTGCTAGGATGCTATAAGAATTTAAAAATAATCAGATATTTTCGTGATTAATAAATAGAAATCTCCACAGTTATATTAGAGTAGGACATCAAGACCTTTTGCTCTTCCATTTATGCAAATATTTTGTAACATGTCTATGAGTTGTTTCTGCTTTTCCTGCAAAGCAACCTGGTTTTGCTTTGGCCATTGGCCCATTGGCCCATACACAGACCCGGACAAGGAGTCTGGTTTGGAAATTCCTGATGCACAGCATCATAGCTGAAATCCCAGCCTCAAAAACAACAGAAATGGGAAATCCCAATGGATTGCTCAGTTTCACATTTCAGTGCCTGAATTCCAAACACTTGGTTCTCTCTTTGGTCTAGCCTTCATGCTATATTTTGTATTTAAAGATTTACTGGCATTAAGTTGATTTTTATTATTATTCAGCTCTACTAGAAAGCCTTTTTATATTCCTATCATATTTTCAACAGTGCCTTAACAGGACAATTTTATTATTCCCTAATTCAGCTCGTTTGCATACACTGCATGTTCTGTAAGACCTTCTGAACCTCATGTTATTAAACAAAATGCAGAACTGGCAACACAGAAATCAAAAAGCCAGCTGTTCCCACAGGGACTCAGTGCTTGGAGCAGAGTAGCTGTGTTTCATAACTTCTCCACCTCAACCTTCGGACCTCAAGGTTCAGCTAACAATCTCCTCATAGCAGACTGTTCATAACTGACCAGTCTCCAGAATGAAACAAAGCAACGCACATCCATGCAAAAAAACCCTGATTTTTATTGTTAATGGAGAAATTGGGTTTTAGAGCCCAAGAAAAGACCAAATCCTTAAAAGCAAGATGGCAGCAGACTCAAGGCAGAACCACAGCACTCTGCTCCAGCTCATCAATAAACCATTAATTAATCTGAATTTGGGCTAGCAAAACAGCTGCAAATAAATGAGAAGACAAGTTCCAAATTGAAAGAAAAGCAAATGGTCCTTTATTTTTCAATCCTACAGTCACAGAATTAAGGGGAGATAAAGCATGGTTGCTTAATTGAGGGCAGCTGCTGTTGAACAGGCACAGTGATAGAAGTCAATACAGTTGGTGCTCAGTTGTCACTGTGGATGTGCTCTGGGGAATAATGGGTTCAAAGCCACCATACAGTTCAGAGCAGAGATACAGCAGCAGCAGCCCACAGATTTGGCAACACATCACATGCCAGTTCTGCCACTGGCTCATCAATTGGTGTCCAGCAAGTCACCATACAGTACTGGACCTCAGTTTCCCTAGTCACAGCGGGCAGGGATTAAGTTGACCTGCCTACAAAGGTGCCTGAAAAATCTATCTGTGAAGCCACCACTTCTTTTTCTCTCCATCATTATTTTAAAAGGCATTTTCACTTCACTCCATTGTTTAAGCTCTGCAGAAATACAAGCGCGGAAGCAAATGTTAATGAATTGCACTGTGGTTATGTCAATATATATCAGAAGCATTATTGGTAATCTTTACAGTACAATAATAAAAAAGAAGAAAAAGAAAAACACGCTTTTTTTTTTTTCTGTTGTTAAATTGAAGTATTTAGGTCTTTGTTAAAGTTAATCACTGCTTGCAATAAAGTGTAATGTTCAGTTATAATCGTTATAAAGCAATGTTAATGTGTGCTGGGGTAAGTTTAATGAAAGTGATCTTTGTAGCTCATAAAAACGACATTCCAGTGTATTTTGCCATCATAGCAACAGAGGCTTATGAAATAGCTGCAGTGGAAAGTAAATAAAATATAAATGACTCATGTAAGACAACAGTTTCACCACAGTGGAGGCTTAGCACCATATTGCTTTTTGTACTGTTTTAAGACAATTAATGCCTTAATGTTTTGCTCTCAGCAATAAAGTTAGACCAAGCTCTTTATTTGTGCTTAACAACCTGGGGTCATCCACAATAACTTCAGTGTGACACCTCAACAAAACCAGTAAGTGCTGGCTGGGTCATGCCCAGTCTCCAGCGGTCAGGAGCACCAAGGACAGATCCTCACCATCATCAGACTCTACGTGCCACACACCTTAGTGAACCAACATTAGCTGTCGCCACTTACCTGCTTTGAAGATCCACTCCAAATATCCATTTAGTTCCCGTTCTATTTGCTGTTGCCTACGGAGTTTCAGGAAAGCTCGACGGTTTTCTACCCTCTCTCGTTCTTTGGCAAATTCACTACAGAGAGAGAAGAATGAGAAAGTACATCACACAAGGTCAAGGAAGACACGCAGTTTCTCCTTCATTTTTTGAGAATTTCTTCACAAAGACTGAAAGCAGCAGCAAGAAGAAACCACAGCACACTACGCATCAACGTCCAACAAACTACCACTTTGATTTCACTGGAAGCAGAATATTTGTCATAGAAGCACCAGCAATCTTTCAGTTTTGGAAGAGGTCTGCTCTTCCCAGTTGGCTTTCCTCAGAGTTTTCCCAGGCCAGCCAGCTTTGACAAACAAGTCCAATGATAGCTGTAGGTGAGGTTGTGTATTTTGGAGTAAGGAGAAATACCCCAGATGCTCTAGGTTGAGGGTAAGAGTGATCTAATTTTGCTGAAGTCATATGGAAAGCATCAAATCACCTCAATAGGACTATATAGAGGGAGTGGGTCAGGAAGTAAACAAATAATGCAGGCTGGAAAAAGAGAAAAAAGACACTCAACCACTGCCAAAACCTTATCCAAGTACATCCTACAGCCTACTTTGAAATGATGCTAAGGCAGCAGTGCAGCTACCACTCCCACACAACCACAATGGGCCTTTCTCCAGACTAATCTCTATCAACTCTAAGGAGCACCTGATGCTCCAGCTGAGGTGACCTCTGCAGGTACATGTGCCCATCTACTGCTTACATACCTCTGAACCAGCCCCTACAATCCCCTGCTCTGAGCACACACCAGTGAGCAGTTACAGGAGTGAATCCCACAATAGCTTAACCTAAATGGTTAACCTCAATGACGTTCTGTCTCTCACATATACCAGTGCCCTACTCTTTGTCCCATTTAACATCTTAACACTGCTGTGTCTTTCCCTGCAAGCCTTACTTCACTTGGCTCTTTGCTGAAGTCTCCCCTCATCACCTGTTTGTTATCCACAAATACTTTTCAGTTAGAATCTAACAAGGAACAGGAGATGGGAGGAAGGAGGAAGAATGGAGAACAAGGAACTGCAAGTGCCAAAGCCAACTTTACATTCACAGCCTACATTTCAGCCTTCAAAGCTGACACTTCTGCTTAGTTTGGCAGGACTGACCCAAGGAAAAGGGGACTGCAAGAGAACTCAGCTCAGCACTGCAGCACACACCTCTACAGCCATGATGTGAGAGCTGCAATTACCCCTGATGTGATCCTCATTCCCCTCTCCCGTCTCCCACTGCCCATGACCCATCCTTGAAATGGAGGAAGCTGAAACATCACTCTGCAATGACAGCTAGCTGCTCCTCGGTGTTCAGCACATCTGCCTGGGGACTCAGGTACCTGCATGCGACAGCTGGGATGCCCATTTTCTCCCTTTTCCTTTTTAATGTTCTCATTTCTGGTTCAGCACCCACTGGTCAGGGCCACGGACCTCCTCAGGGGTTGGTACTGGGTCTGGTGCTGCTGGGAAAGCAGCTCTCAAGAGAAGACCCAGACACTTCGGGTCTCATTGACTGCCTTCTGAGCACAGCAGAGCTCTAGCAGGTTGAAGACTGAAGGGTACTGAGGTATGGTCTTCCTGGTGGAGGAAAGCATCGTGGACCTTTCTCCTACCTCACAAGATTTGACTAAGCTGGAATCTGTCAAAAATTTTTTTCTTTATGAAATGCATTAGTAAAAGTACGCTTCTCTCTCCTCCACTGCATTCATTGTCATTCAGGAACTGAAATATTCCCCATCTGCAGTAACTGGAAAAACCTCAGAATTTCTTAATGAGGGATTTTTGTCAAAATTTCTGAACGATTTCAAAGAAAAAGGGAACAAATTATAAAAATGGCATATTTCACCTAGAAATACTTAAGCTGAAGGTTTTCTGCCTGTTCCAACAGAAGCTTGGAAAACCCCATAGGAATGTTTTGTAGCAATAAATAAATCTACTTTTTTATCCAGCATAATTGCTATTTATGCCACTGACTTTAAAAAATCTCCCAAATTTTCTTGGAAATCTTAGCAGAAAATAGGCTGCCTCCTGCCCATCTTTACATCCAGGACATTCATGATAGCAGCTAATTCTGGAATGAAGAGTATTAAATAACATTTATCCACTCTTGTCCTTCTTAACAGCTACCACGTGCCCCAAAATGTCCCCCAAAACATTCCTCTTTCAGCAATGCCTGGATGGGCGTTAGGAGGTGGAGAACTGGAAAGGTTGGCACTCCTACACACAGCACAGCATCAGGAGACACTGCTTAGGATGAAGATGAGATCTGCCTGGATTGATGACTACAGTGCATTTTAGTTAAAACATGACAGTTGCGAATAACTGATCCTACAGAGACAGCCGGAGTAGACATCAACGTAAAGGCATTCATCATGGAAACCATATGCCATCCCAGTCAAGCTCAACGTGTCACATTTTTCTTCTCAAGAATGGTCGGTGCTTAAAGTCACCAGGAAAATGAATGATTGTTACTTGTCACATTGGTGGGAGGAAGAGTGAAATAGATCATGATGTAAATATGCACTGGAATGGCCACTTCAGGGAAACTCGAGAGTTTCCCAGTCACAAGAGAGACAAGGTCAACTCATGAGTAACCATCAGGGTCTATAAAAATATTATACTCCAATGACATTCTTACAAATAATTTATCCATGCAAGTCTTAAGTGAAAAACACTGTCACACCAATTGAAAAGGAAAACAAACAAAAACCCTGATCTACATCCTCTGTTCAATTTTCCCATACAACAGCTGAACTGGAGTACTGTGCAACAGGCTGCCTGGTCTTGGGTTTTGTGGCATGCACCCAGGCTTGCTGCAAGACTAATCACATCATTCAACATCTGTAATTCATGCTTTCCCAGTAGAAAGAAGACAGAAGAGCTTCCCACTCAAAAGAGAGAGGTACAGAGAGAAGATACAGCATTGCTGTCGTTGCTAGCTCTAACAGTGGTGGTGATTAGCGATTCACAATAATGACATAGGTAATTAGCTCCTCATTCAGAACAGAACCACTGAGCTACACATGATCTCATGAAAACTCATCTCTTATGCTGAGAGAAAAGCCTTCCTCTACTGAATCTAAAGCACTGTTCAGAGCAAGCAAAAAGGAGCACAAATCTCAGGAGGACTTCAACAAGAATTCGCAGCAAGGAGTTTAAAAAGTCTTCAGAATTTTATGTCTAGAACAACAAAAGAAAGAGTTTAAGAACCAGCTTCATCTCTAGTCCAAGTATTTCAAAGGAATGCGCAAAACTGAGGCACCAGGGGACATGAGCCCCCAAAACTGCCAGAGAAATTCAGATGGGTGATTTGCTAGCTAAGGAACTAGCCAGGCCTACAGATGTTTGACTGCCTGAGTCACTCACTGGCCAAAGTGAATTCTCCAGGTGGAGAAAGAAAATTGGCCATGACCGAAGGCTTAATTTGTGAGCTTTGTTACTTGAACATGGAACAGTGCCCAAGAACTGACTTGTTATTTGACAGCAGCCTGTTAAACAGCCCACATCACTCAGGAGCAGCGAGGGACGGGCTAGAGACAGCTGATGGAATACACCAACTCCTCTGGCTGCTCGACATGCAAGTTGGAGGAGCATCACTGTAGGAGACGCAAGCCAGAGGAGAAGCAGTTGCACAAACTCAGTTGTTTTGTGCCACTCAAGGAATATCTGGATGGGAAGAGACCATGGAAAGAACCTCAAAAAAAGATTCAGTGCCAATTATCTACCTAACTGCCTGTAAGCCTTCAACAAGAACAATGCTGAACTAAACTTCCATAGGATGCTACAGTAGGAACCCAGAGATGCACCTGTAGGACAGCTGACAAATGAACATGCTGGCTGATAAAACTTATAAGATGGACATGAAACTACCTGCATTTTTTTTTTTTTTTCAGTAAAACCAGATTTCTTGTGCTTCTGCTCACTCAGGGGCTGTACTTTATTCACCAGATGCTCCAGAGCCCCTAGGATAACCTCCAAGCACAAGGGAAGAGAGAATCTACACGCAAGCAGAAACACTTAATGGGGTTTTTAAGTGTGGATGTCCACTTCCTACCATTTGTTCTGGTTAATCAACTGTGGGACAGAACTACAGTTAATTCTTGATGTCATTCTCAGGTCTTTGTGATGAAGGGATTTGCTACCTTTTCCTATCCAACCAAACCCCTACTTTGGTTCGATAGGACAAGAGGTAATGGCTTAAAGTTGCAGCAGGAGAGGTTTACGTCGGATATTAGGAAAAATTTCTTCTCAGACAGGGTGGTGAGGTATTGGAACATGCTGCCTAGGGACGTGGCGGAATCACCATCTACGTTTTCAAGAAAAATGGATATGTTGCACTGAGCAGCATGATTTAGTGGTGTGGTGGAGATGGGCTGACGGTTGGATTTGATCTTAGTGGCCTTTTCAACCTTAACAATTCTATGATTTTGCTACTTGGGTGAAGCTTGTTATGAGAGCATGGTGGGCAGATTCTTGCTGAGCCCACTCCTTGTGCTCCTGCCATCCTGCAGTGCTGCAAGGCTCCTGTGATTGAATTTTCTGCCTCACCCACACAGTCCTGCAAAGCCCCTTGCAGCTTGATTCAGCAGGGCCTGATCTGGTTAAAAACCCCAGCATTTCATTCACTAACCACATCAGCACCCAAGTGTCTACAGAAAAGCAGATTCTCGCTCCAGGGAACGAATTTGTTCTGCAGGTTCATATCTCTGTCTTTTGTCTTTCTGAAGAACAGTAAATCCTTTCTAAGTGGAAGTCTCTGCTGGATGCAGAAAAGAAAAAAAAAGCCCAACACCTTTATGACTGTAACTGTTTATACAACAAAGGACATAAAGCCTTGGCAGTGCTAAACATTGATCTCACCTACTGCAAACCTGTACATTGAGAGACAAAGACACAGAAGGAGTCCTGGAAGAAAGGGAGCACGTCAGAGCTGGCAGGAGCAAGATGGACACTGGGAATGAATTGCTTATGGCAGCACACAGGAGGTCAGGAGTCAGGGGGGACGATGTGGGGGAGAAGAGAACCCAGTGTTCCCTTCAGTGC